CTCAGCGCCCCTGAATAGGGTTGGGGCCCATGATACTACAACTATAGATCCCTTATAGATCCCTTAAAGGAACCCTTAAGGATCCCTTAAAAGCCCCCCATAGTAGGCCCCCCCTGGTCTTCAGAAACTCCCAAATCTCCGGGCTTGCCGCGAAGGTGCCGGGGCCCACGTGAGGCTCGGATTACTAAGCGCCGAGGCTTACAAGCGACTGCCTTTTCAGGGTTCCTTGAAAAGGTTTCTATAATAATGAAACATTCCTTAAGGTAGGTTCCCTATATAAGGGTTTCTATAATAACAATATAGTTCAGGTTTTTTGGGCCAAATAGAAGACGGTTTTGGATGTATTACAGTATTTAGCAAGGGAGCCGTAAGAAATGATAGCAGTAATTATGTGCTGTAAGGACATGGTAAGGCTCAGGCTTTTTACGGTTGCCATGCGCATCTGAGGGTGTCTTCTGAACAAAGCATGCGAGCGCGTTGGCGCAGTCTCCAGGGCTCAGGCTTCAGGGTTGAGCGAGTTAGCTATTATTACTATTAGTACTATTGTTACTATTATTATTATTATTATTGGAATGTTCTGGACTGATGGTTTAGGGATTAGGGCTTAGTTTATGGTTTGGGGACTACTTCGGCTTTATGGTTGCGGTTTACAGGCGGTTTAGGGAATGCTTCGGAAAACCTAGATTCTTCAGAGTTCACTTTGGCTGCATGACGTCACTACGCACCAGAAGCCTACCATAGATTGAAAAAGGCTGTGAAGCTTCAAGCTGACTCTATTCACGGAAGGCTACGGGATCTAGGTATTTAGGCCACAGTTGGTTGGGGGTGGGTAGTACAAGAACTACCATGACGGAGGCTTCGTAGGGTCTCTAGGCTTCCTCAGACAAAGAACCTGGGACAAAAAAGAATATGGTAGCTAAGCCCCATTTAGCGGGTCGGAATTTTGAGCTGCGGGGTGCATGAGCTTGTGATCCTAGGATTGGTTCAAGTGCAGCAACGAATTGTCAATAAAGTTCTACCTCGGGAGCTCCAGCTAACGGATTGTGGTTCCCCTTCAACCCTAAACCCTAGGCCATCTTAACCCCCCTCGACATCTGCATGTTACGATGTTATACACCCTAAGCTTATACTCTAAAGCCCTCTACCAGCACCCCCAAGTAGGGTGCGAGTGGCGCCTTCTCCTGTACTGCATTCCGTGAGCCTTAAATACAGCTGTCTTGCGATAGACATGAAAATTGAAGGCTGCATCGAATGGAGGTTGTTCTGATCACCATGCTCCATGAAGGGAACGAGACATGACATATTGAACACGTTTGAAGTCGTTCCTTCAGGCACTACCAAGTTTTGAGACTATCCAGCCATATACTTATGGCTTACGGCAAAGCCTCCACTTTAGAACAACCCCAGATGCCAAGAAAAGTGTTGCCAGCGTAGGCCCATTCGGCTTGAGGAGCCGCGAGCCTGTGCAGGAAAACGTCAAGCACGGAATAAGTAGGGTTGGCGAGGATAGGGTCCAAAACCTTTTTTTGCGCAGACTTGTATATGGCCCCAAACCCTAAACTCCAAACCAAAAGCGACGAGGCTTTCTGGCTTAGTGCTACTGTAGGGGTCTGGGGTGTAGGATCTAGTTAGTAGGTAGATCCGGTGCGAGCGCATATGACGTAGGGACTTAGGGCTAGCAGTGAACACCTCCAGCCAAGCCATGTATGGCGACTGATCGGTTTCTGTGGTTGAGCGATGCTTTCACTTATATTCCTTGCAGCACATTGGCAGAGGTGTGCTAGCTGGGCGCTGCTTTTGACAGGTTGGGATGTTTTCTCAATCGACCCCAGCATCGTCTATCGTAGATGCTTCGGCCCTACCGGAGAGTTTCAGGCTTGATTTCGAAGTGTGTTTCAATTCCCTATTTCTCAACCTCGAAGCTCACAACCGAGAAACAAACTTGTCTCGGCCACTTAGCTTCGAAACCCAAGTCTAACTGAGCTGCAAGGTGTCGGGTGGGGGTGGGGGGCCAGGATCTATGGCTATGGTTCAGGGTGTCAGATACACAGAACGATCTGTTTGTTTGACTTCCTGATTCTGCTAGCTTGTCGTAGGATGCAAATGGATTGGCACTTGGGCGCTCACGCAATACAGGCTCTTGAAGTTCAGAGTATGGGGCTAAGGACTGCAAATACGTCTCCTAGCCCACCTCCTCTCAGTGACCTCTACCGAAAAACAGATTCCCCCCCCTCCCAAAAGCAAGCAGCATAAGCAAATTATAAACACAAAACCCACCCAGACGCCAAACTGCAAAGTCCCTCCAAACGACAACATGTTCGAGCCTTCGGCTTCCTCGCATGGAAAGCCGCCAAAAGAGGCCGAGGGTTAGAGTTGCACCACGAGGCTGATACAGTGCCTTCGAGGAAGCTCACAGTTTGAGGATTTGGGCTTCATCAGGGTGAAGGGTTTCGGCTGAGCTTCGGGGGTGTGGAGTTTGAGATCTCGCGACTTGGACACAGCTAGACGAGGCTGTGGAGTTTACGGCCTGTAGGCCTTGCTCTGGGAGTTGTGCTTCGTGTAGGCCGCAAAGGGGCCTGGTGATTCGGGGGTAGGGTTTTGGGATCTGTCATGTTGGGACCATGGTCAGGAACCCTGACAAAACAATGGTGGTAATTATTCATGCGTCTGTACTACTGTACTACTCCTCAGTTTATTACCTCCTGATGCGCAAGAGGGCGGAGCAGCATATCTAATGCGGAATAAGGCGGAGCAGCATATCTAATACGAATGTTCAAGACATATAATATATACACACACACACATATTGTTTTATTGTTTTTCCTTTGAAACCTGAATCATGTAAACTACAAAACACTGTATCTCGTATACCCAGACCATGCAGCCCTAAATTAGGCCCTGAATCGCGCGGCTAATGAAGTTTAGGCATCTTTGCCGCTTTCGGTTGAAGAACTCAAGAAAATTCTAGAAATATTTGTCTCTGGAGTATATGTCTCGGTTTCACAGGCTGCAGCCTGCCAATGCGTTTGCACTCACAAACAAAACACAATGGAAGCACCGTCACTTTGACCCTGATCGTTCACATCGACGTAATAAGAACCAAACCCCACAATTCAGCCGTAAAAAACCCTAAAACGAATACTGCGCAAACAACAAGAAGTGCCTGACTGCGTCCCCTTCGGCAGTGGTCGCGGATGACGAATCCATGCCTGGGACACGGTAGGGTGCAGACGGGGTTTATGGGCCACGGCTCCAAAGGACCTCGGATGTAGGGCGAGAGGTTCATGGAGCTGAGGGTATTGGGACGGACATTTCCTCCTCGCAGGGTGTCGACCGAGGTTGCAGCTACGCATAAAGTAGTTCTTGAAGCTTTCATCTGGGTGAATGCACAAGTCTGATGACAACCAAAGCACGTTGACATCTTTCTCTTGCCCAATCCCTCCCAAAGCCTAACACCTAGGGACCTAAGCCATCTCCGCTGTCTCGCCCTGCCAAGGCTTCACAGTTGTGGGGATCAGGAACGCCAGGGGCGAACAGCCAGGCATGGGGCAAGGTCTGTAACCGTCCCAGAGGCTGGGAAATTGCGTCCACAAGTCTATCTCCCCAGCCCGATGTTCCGTGAGGTCCGAGAGGCCGTCTGCCTAAACCCTGACAAAAAAATCCGCAAGGGCAGCCGACTCTAGACAGACTCTATCGTGGAGCTCCTAAGTTTGAAGCTCGCCATCCGTAATATCCTTACAATCAATAAGATACCAACCAGAAAGGGTTGGGCGTTTTCAGGGGAAAGCGTTGCAGGGAAGACAATTCTTTTGCAAACCTGCGCTCAGCCACCCGGTAACATGGAAGACAGAAGTGTTTGTACCAGGCCGAGACCAAACCCGACCGAGCTTCGAACCCAGAGCCCTGCACCCGCCTTTGCCATCGCAAGTGTGATCCATGAACTCTTTCGAGGACATCGGAGCCACCAAGGGATCCTGACACATAGGATTCGAGATTGAACCCTGACAACACCCTGCCCCGAAGCACACACACACTCCCCCTTGTTGCTCGCATTGGGGTGGTTAGGCGGCCTTCGGGGTCGACGTGACTCCAGATGGAAGGCTTTTCCAGTTCGAGGTTCGCGAGGTACTATCTACTATATACTACACCATAATTTGCTATACAAAGCAGCAAGGGTCACAAGTGGGGAATACTCGGACGGTTTCTACTGTTGCCGAAATCAGAAACTAAATCGCGTAGATCGTAAATCCCCACACCCGTAAACTTTCACATCTGCTTCTTCCTGGATAACCCGTCCTCTTCCTCCTCCTCAGCTGATGTCTGCGCACCTCGTTTGATGTAGGGTTTAGGGCTTACAGGACTTAGGTTTAGGGCTTCTTCCAGGGTCCAGAGGTTAAAGTTTAGGTCTTATAGGGTCTAGGTTTAGGGACCTAAGCCCTAAGCCCTGCACTCATTGAACCAGCTCTCCGGAAAACCTTGGGGAGAGAATGGCACCTTCGACCTGACAACCGAAACCCCCCTCAGAATCCCCGAGCCTAAAACACTTCACCGAACCTGCATATCCTGAGCTCAGAAACCCCGAAGCCCGGACCGTAAACATCTCAAGTTGACGTATTAGGATTCAGGGTGCAGTGTTTGGGGCTTGGGCGGTTTGGGATGTTGAACTCTCGAATCGTCAGCCTTGCTAATTTCGGGGGCTTCCCGAGTCAAACTATGAAGCACCCAACGCTTTGATTGGTCCAAGATTCGAGCCTAAACAACTCTCGCAGGGAGTTTGGGACTCAAGGGTTAGAGTGCCAGAGCTCAACGCACGGCCCGGAACTTCAGGTTCAGGGATCAGGAAAGACGATGGTATCGGGCTCAGGGTTTAGAAGCTCCAGTTCTGCGACATGGAAAGTTTGCTCTCGAGTGCAATCAAACCGCACCGGGCCGGAAGCATGGACACATAACCTACGGCTGTTAAGCAAAGACGTGTCATAAACCTCTGGGGCAGGGACACTCTACTTAACTTTACTTTGTGGGTAAGCCATCAGAAAAAGCGTAACTATGTGCTGACTTAGGTTTCGATTGAACTGAAGATAGCTAAAGCCGTCCAAGCAACAGAGCGTGTTATCTCGCTGTGACTCGACAAACTTCACAAACTTCTCCGGGTTGGCAGCAATCAGAGCCTGGTGCTGCAAGTGATGGCGATGCACGGCCATAAATTTCAGTGTAGACTTGGCTTTCACGCAGCAACAGAACAAGTTCATAGCATGAAAGAGAAAGCCAAGAGTTGACAGTAAACAAACCACATCTGACAAGGGCATGTCTCCCACAGTATGCTCAACAACTCCGACAGGAGGGAATGCGTTGCATCGAGTTGGCTGGGCCCTTTGGATGATTCGAGGGCACGAGCCTTTGCTGGTGGATTGTCCTTGTGCATATGCGAACACCATGTGCGGCAGGAACCTGCTTCGGTGGCGCAACGAACTTGATATTCGCTGCGTCCCAGACACTCCCGCTCGTGCACTGGCCCTCCGATCTTAAAGCCACGGCAGAACTCGAAGCCCCCCAAACGATCCGATGGTTACAGCATTTTGACTGGGCGCTGAGCCCTACGAAGCCAACGGCACACCCCGACCACTTGTCAAATGTTGTAGATCTCGTTCTGTCACTCGCCCCGCAGCTTGTCTCGGCCATGTTTATCTAACTTCAAGAATGAAGGTCCGCAGGCTTGAAAGAGAGGTATTGCATGAGTGCCAAACGTGGTCAAGAAAACGCTTCGCCACAATGAACCAACATAGCCGGGACACCAGCAGCTTTTCCAAATTTTGCTCGTGAACGCCTCCATTGAAAGTGGGTCGCGGGACCCATGTCCTGTGGCAGGGGACCCTCATTGCTCACTACATGATTTAAAACGAAATGCTTCAGTGGAGTCCAGAAGCCTAGCTGTTCTCTGAAAACACGTCACGGAAGCACGGAGGACAACAGGCCATGGTTGGCCTCCACACCTCAACCCTGAGCCTCCCCCGACTCTACAAGCTCCTGGACAAACCCGTACCTGCCAAACCCGCAACATGAGATGCACGATATTACACCGCCAAAACAAACCTATAACCCTGACCCACCAAATCATGAAATCCGATTCCTGTACGCCTTGCACCCGGAGTCCGAAAAGTGACCTGAAGGACTGATCCTCAAAATCCCCGGGGTTGAGCTGTTGTCTTAGGGCACAAAGGATTTATAAGGCTGAGAGTTTAGGAGGTTTACGCTCTCGCAACTCGGACATGTCCAGACGAGGTTCTTGGTGCGCATCAACAACTACAAAGGGCAGTGCTGAATCGGTCTGCGGTACACACCACAACACAAGTTAAGGCCATGAAAGACACCGACTCAACTACTCAGGAGGTTTAGGGTTTTGGTTTGGGGGGGTTAGGGTGACAGGCCACCCAGGAAGTTCTTTACAATATTGTCAGGCTGCTGTTTCTCCAAGAGTCGAGTGAAAAGGAATTTGTACAAGCTGCCTTGCTTTAACAAATAGCTCCCTAACCCACAGCCCTGAATTGCACACACTACTGTTACCACAAAACTTCAAAAATCCGTACCCGAAACCTTCAAGAGCACCCTTTCGCAAAACTTGGACCTTCAACTCAGGGAAGGGGCGTTGCGGGCTGATGGTTTCGATGATTTACTTGGAAATTGGCCTGGGGTTCTGGTTACCCATAGGCTCCATAGTAATTAGTCCCTTTTGGGATTACCTTCTAGGATTCTAAATATGAACCCCAAAAAGGAACTACTATGGAGCCTCTAGGTGGGGCATCTCGGAGCTGGCGGGCTTGGCATAAGTAAAGGGCTTGCGTGTTCGGGCTTTGGGGTCATTTTGCTTTTGGGGCTGTAGAGGGCTGGGGTTGCTTTAGGATTTGGGTCTTAGGTGCTGTTGTGTCTTCGGGTTTTGACGTCAAGGGCTTCCAGGTTTGGCTTCAAGCTTCATTCTCCAGTAACCTTATGAAACTCTTGATAGCAACCCCAAAATTTAATCCTTACGGTATCCTTACAGAGCCTTAAACCCTAAACCCCAAAACCTTTTGCAACAGCCTTCGCACTTCGCCTGGAGTCGGCTCCCACATCAGCTAAACCTCAAACTCTGGACCCCAAGCCATAGCAATAATATCTAGGGGCCTCAATAACAAGAATCGGGGTTTCGGGGGTATATTACGATTATACCATAGTTACAACAAGAAAACCCCCAAAACAGTAGAGTTTAATTATGGTTCATGATTATACCATAGCTACAATAAGGAGACCCCAAAATAGTGTAGGTAATTATACTAAGGCCCCTACAATATGGCAGTTTCCGAAAATGGGGACCCTAATAGAGTACCCCAAATAGTAGGATCCTTCTTATAAGGACCCCAAAATAAGGTACCCCTGACTTTCGGAAACTCCCAGATTCGTCAAGTCCTAAGGATCGGTCCTGGAACCTTCTTTCTCTGCTTCTGCCTTGCGCGAGGTAAGCCTCCAGGGTACGGAAACACAGGAGTACGAATAAGGGCAGCAAGTTCATAGGGTTCAAGATTGTAAGGACGTTAGGACATGTAGGGTTGCAGGTAGGATTCTTGGGCATGGCCACAGCTGCGCATTGCATTATCATGAACAAAAAAGCAAAAGTGATGACGAAACGTCTGCAGATGACGAGAACATGCTAGATCAGTCATCACAGGCTACTATATCAAGCAACCAGCAGCCACTAGAATACTACCTACTACCCTACGGAGATGACGATGACGACGACGACGGCGACCGCTACGACTGACACTGCCACTACTGTCGTCACCACCACCACTACCACCAGTACTGCAGCTGCGACTGCTATCACAGCAGCAGGAGCAACAACAACAACGACGACGACAACAACTGCAACTGCAACTGCAACTGCAACTGCAACTGCAACTGCAACTGCTACTGCAACTGCAACTGCTACTGCTACTGCTACTGCTACTGCTACTGCTACTGCTACTGCTACTGCTCCTGCTGCTGCTGCTGCTGCTGCTGCTTCTGCTACTGCTACTGCTGCTGCTGCTGCTGCTGCTGCTGCTGCTGCTGTGCTGCTGCTGCTACTGCTACTGCTACTGCTACTGCTACTGCTACTGCTACTGCTACTGCTACTGCTACTGCTACTGCTACTGCTACTGCTACAGCTGCTGCTGCTGCTGCTACTGCTGCTGATGCTGCTGCAGCTAATGCTATTGCTGCTGCTACTGCTACGACTACGACGACGACTACTACTACTACTACTACGACGACGACAACTACGACTACCACTATATACCACTATCACTACCACTACCAGCACCGGCATTTCCTTGTTGGTGTCTGTTAAACTGGATGGTAATCTTGAGTGCTGGGGGTGGTTTGCGGTCTAAGCTTGCACCTAGCACCAAACCCCCTCAGAACAAACAAACAAACAAAAGCCTGAATCGCAAATCCTAAACACCATACAAACCCAAGCCCCCAAAGCCTTAACCCAATCAAAACATCCCCCAACCCCTATGAAGGGCTTCTTGCTCCGGGCTGACTGGTGGAGTGCGTTCGGGTCCAGAGGCTGAGGGTTTAGGCTGTCTTGTCGGCTTTGGCCTCTTGGCCGGTCTGGTGGTGATAGATCGGACTTACAGAGATGCTCGCAGCTTGAGTATCTAGCTGCTAGCCGCTAGCCCAACTCGTTATCCCAAATTGCCCAAACCTACGCTGTTGAAATTCAAGTTTGAAAAGAAAACGTCGTCAGGCTCTGGGCTCTCCTGGGAACCGGAATACCCAAAATCCGGAAAAACAAAACAAGTCCGAAACCGCATATCCTCCGACCCTTACAACCCTCAACCCCCTGCCCTGTTCTTGAAGCTGCTCAGCCTTGATGCTGGCCAAAAGCCCCACTTTCCCGACATGGTTCCGCCCGGGGCCATAGCGCGGCCGAAGCACATGAACAAAAACCAAGAAGCTCATGAATGCTGCAGGAACAGCTGCTGGGTTTGGGCTTTCTTGGTTTGGGTTTAGCTTCTGCGCAACCACGAGCCATATCCTCGCGAGCCGACACACGAACATTGATGCCCACCCGCTGCACCCCAAAACCTTCATCGTGAGCGTTAAACAACAAGGTTTACCCGTAATTAATGAAGCCTGCGTGTACTTCATACACCCTCGGTTTGCATCAGGACTTGTGCATTGGCCTCAACATTGGTCCAGAAAGTGCATACATAGTAGATGTACAATCACAGCCTACCCCTTACAACCACAAATCCTGCGTTACAACCACAAATCCTGCGGCCAAACCGGGCCGGAAACACCAGGGCTTGCAAAAAGAACCCCGGTCGCCCAGGAAGAAGGAACTCTGCAATCCAGAAACTCGAACAGCAGCCCGTGCCCAGCATTAAAAAATGCACTCCCTTGGCTTCAAGCCCTGCTTTGGGTGAAATGTCTTCTAGCGGCTTTTTGGTGGTAAAGAAACCGTGGCATGTGCGGCAGCACCCTGTTGGGATGGCCCGGCTCGGGACTACAGCAGGCGGGTTGCTCCAGTAACTGCACGCAAGAGAGTTGATCCAGGCTTTCATAGAGTTTAGGGTTCAAGCTGAGATAGACAGTTCTGGCACAGCCATTCCTTAATCATCGAGCTCCCGCTAGGCAATGGACCCCTCAGCCTAACCCTGTCCTTATCATCGTGCGTACCAAGACACTCCAATGCAACTCCATTACAAAGCGGCGTCATCTCCTTCCGTCATCCCTGCTCACTGAACCTCTTTAGAACCCGAAACCTCGAAGACGATGAAGGCTTAAAGCATGTGTAAAAGCCTGAATGATAGAACCCTTCCGTATGAACCAAATGAGCGGCAAAAATGGGGCTCCGTAGACTTGTACGATGGATCCCTATATGGTAGGTGAAGCTGAAACCCCTTTCAGGCACATGCCGCCTCACATGCGGGAACCCTTGGTGTTTACAGCCATACTCCCTGCCCGAACCGAATAAACACTAGCCTGAACCTGGAGCCCGAAACTCAAAATCCCAATGAATTCCTAAACCTTAACCAAAAAGCTTACTATCTCTTCACTACTAAAGCCATACTTCCTGGACATTCAAGCTTGCAAGCCTGAATGTGAATTCCTTATGATTCCTTATCCGTACATGATCTGGTGGTTTCCTGCCTCAATCCAATAAGGTAATCCTAACTCCCAAATGGCATGTACACACTAAACCCTGTACCCGTTCCGGCGGCACCTCGCGGATCCGCATATGGCATTGCAAGACCTCCAGTGCTCCGGGATTTGTATTGTAGACATCATCGAAAGGTCCTACGGGGCGTCGCCGGAGCTAGATCGAATATACATCGAGGCTTCGGCAAGGGGGTCCTGAAGCTAGAACTCGGGCCTTGGGCCGGTATACTACCAGGGCTTCTAGGGCTTAGTGCTAAGGCCGTAGAGCCGCATCCCCCTGGCCCACGAAACCCCTAAAGTGCGACGTGAAAGTGTTGGACAGTAAGAAGCCTTAGCACGCAGACCCTAACTGCAACGACAAGTCATCACTCGGAGTTGAACTAATGTGTACCCCAAACAGTAGAAACCGTTCAACCCGGACAGCCGAAAGCATGAAGGACTGACAGGTGGCGACGTTACCCTAAACGCCGATATGGGGGAGCTGCAACCGGGCTCTGGGCCTTAGACCTCTTGTAGGCCTGAGAGAGAGCTCCTATAAAGGCTTTTATGGCCTTGTGGCAGATAAGGAGCTTCTACAGAGGGCTTTCAGTCAGAACCCTTAACCCTAAAACGTAAAACCCTAAACCCTATAAAGCTCAAACCCTAATCCCTAAAACCCTAAACCCTAAAACCCTAAACCCTAAAACCCTAAACCCTAAAACCCTAAACCTTAATACCCTAAACTCTAAAACCCTAAACCACAAAAGTTTCGGAACCCCCAGCGAGCGCCTGGGAAGGCGCCAGGTGGTCCTCGAGCTCCTGCTAAAGAGCTGAAGACTCTTTCATGCAGGTTTAAACCGGTGTAGGGTTTAGGGTTTAGAGTATTGTGGGTTTAGGGTTTAGGGCTTAGAGTATAGGCCTTATTGGGTTTACGGGGTTTTGAGTTTAGGGTTTAGGGTATAGGCCTTATTGGGTTTACAGGGTTTTGAGTTTTGGGCTTAGGGTATAGGGTTTACGCTCTCGCAACTCAGACACAGCCAGACGAAGTTTAGGGTATAGGGTTTAGCGTTCCTAAACCCTAAACCCTTAAAGGTTTAGGAAGATGGCTTTCGATTCAAGTGTTGGGGATCCGATTAAGTTCAAGGCTAGGGGCATTTGTGAGCTGTAAGTTTACACTGAAGTGCACCCATCGGCTCTTGCGGGCCCGATGTAACGAAATCCCAACACTTCCGCAAGCCCACGGCTGCTCCTGGTGCATTCGGCTGGTAGGGTGCAATCTGAATGCCATTCGGGAGGTACTGTGGCATAGCCCTGGCGGATTCGGCTTGGCGTTTTGATATTGAGCCCCCAAAACCCAGCAGAAGAGTAGACCCGAAGATCCTTCACCCACCTCTCCAAAAGCCCTTGGGTTCAGGGTGTCGAAGTGCAGTGCCCGGCTTTTTTTGCTCCAAGAACATAAGTTTACATAGGGGTGAGGTTTAAGTTTAGGCTTACCCTCACGGACATTCTGAATTCGCGATTCGAGGGCATCAGGCGGGGCGAGCACAGACGAAGATTTGACGGATCTTGAAAGAAATCACATCGAACTCGCGGACACATAAACTGGACTAGTCAAGCCAAAGCTTGCTCGTTTCAATTGGTTTACAAAGGCAATGACTTCACAAGATCCGCAAGAAGCAACCCGGCAGCCACAAATGCTGAAACCGCCCTCTATCCTTTTGAACCCCCAAAAGCAAGGTCACATGACTCAAAGTTTCACAAGGGTTACTCGACTATGAGGTGGCTTGACCAACCCTGCCCAAACATCGGTGCACCCCAAGCCTGCAACCCAAGACCTCAGGCCGCGAAATCTCGTAGCACAGCTCACAAGATTTCCTTCCTCTAACTTCCTAAACTCTTAGCCATATGCCATGAACATACCTGAAACCTACTCCGGAATCCTAAAACCCCTAGAAGCTCAGACCGTAAACAACAACACCGATTCCAGCCCTACCCCCGAATCATCATTGCGATCAACAAGGGTAACAGAATCTTGCTAACCCTTTCGGATGCTGACTTGAAACTAAACTGCTTTTCAGACTTTCTTCGACGGCTAGAGAACCTAATGTTCAGGAAAGGGCATCCAAGCTTCAACCCTAAGTCCTACAGCATAAACGATAGAAGCTGCCCCCACCCTGTAATCGTCACTATAAGGAATATATTAGGGCCCTATTATATTTCTATTAAACCACTATTACAGGGTGGGGGCAGCTTCTAACATAAACGCTACAAACAGGACCTAAGTTCAAGAAAATCTCTGCAGCCGGGAGACGGAGGCATCTGTGGAGCCTGTATCAAGGGGCTTAGGGTTTAGGGGGTTCCGGGTTTAGGGGTTTAGGTTGGGTACTGCCCCCATACAGTAACAGTCTATAATAGGGCTACTACTAAGGTCCTAATATACCTATACTATGAATATTATCCAACTGTTACTGAGTGGGGGCAGTACCCAAGGTTTAGGGCGCTGGGGCTGTGGGGCTTGAGGGTGCTCGGGGCCTTGATTTGCTTTTCTTCAATACCTATAGTCTCCATTGTAGTTCCTTGTTTGGTTAACCAAAATCTCTATTATAGGGTCCTAACCATAAAACTGGATAACCAAAAAAGGGAACCACAATGGAGACTATAGGTAACTTCAGATAAGGTGGAGTAAACAGGCCTCAGCGATTCTAGCTAGGGGCAATCCAGCCGACGCTATGGCAAGCTAGTATAGGGGTCTGAAGAAGTCCTAGCAGTACGTCCCATATTCCACTCGCCATTTTGGCCGAGATCTGCGAGAGCCAATGCATAGCCATCTTCGGATACAGCGGTAGGGACTCAATTACCCTTCTAGTACCTGAAACTTCACTGTCGTACATGGTGACGTTGAAATGCGACAACCTCCACCCTTAACCCCAACACCTCAAACCCTCAACACTACTGTATCTTCGTAGTCTGAACAAGTGGGTCTCCAAGGGAAGCTCATGACGCGTTTCAGGGCTACAAGCTGCTCGCGTTCACAAAAGCTTTGGCACAGCTACGAGCTCCATTAACCTGTTTAGGGTTGTATCAGGTGTTTCAGCGTCTGCCAGGCTTCAGGGTTGGGGGGTTTGATAGCCAGCGTATGGGTCTGGAGATACCATGGGATTGGGTGCTGAGACTAAGGAGCTTGAAGCCCCTTCTTCGGATGCAGTTCGGAAGCTGGAGATCAGCGCTTCTCATTGCATGGGCCCGGAAGCGCGACACCCTGACGCCCCGGCATGGAAAGGAAGCCCCAAACCTCCATCGACTCCAGAATCCGAACCCGAAAAGCTCTTGAGGCCCAGTCTGCAAGTTTAAAACCCCTGGTTTGGGGTTCAGGAGGTAGGACTCAATGAGGGTTGGGTGTAGGTGAGACTCCGAACCCCCAAGTAAGCTGAATCCTTGAGCTGAAGAGCTGAACTCTCCGGGCCCCAAGGCGAAACCACCGTGCGCCTGAGCCGCCGCCCTGCTTCCCGGTGCTGGTTGGTAGGGCTGGATGTTGGAGGGAGCCTGGATTGTAGTTCCTTTTTGGGGTTACCTTGTAGGATCCTAATTATATATTTGGTTAAACCAAAAAAAGGAGCTACAATGGAGACTATAGGTAGAGTTCAGGGTTTGGTATAGCTGGATGTTGGAGGGAGCCTTGGAAGTGCTTCTTTGTTGCCGCTCACCTGGTTCTTAGGAGTTGACTTTCATAAAGGTGCTTACTGAGGGTTTTGTAAGGGCTCTACAATGGGCTTTGGGTGTCTAGCAGGTTGAAAGCTTCATTTCTCAGGGCTTTGACGTTTCAGGGTCCAGGGGTTTTAGGGCTGAGGGCTCTCAGGCTTCGGATATCAGGTTCCGTTTTTGTTCGGGGGGTCTTCGGGTTTTTCAGGGTCTTTAGGACGTGGCGTAGGGCTTCATTTTTTTCGCAGAAGTTTGAACTTTCATGGTTCCTTGGCCTTACGAGCATGTCCATCCCCTGTAAACCCTACACCCTAAACCGTCATTCGCACGGTTGGGCAAGATCTGCACATTGAAGCAGGCCCTGGCTTCAGGAGGGTTTAGAGCTTAGCTTTGGGTTGAGGGCTTAGGATTTAGAGTTTAGGGTTGCTGGGCTTGAGGCTTGGGGTTCACGGGAGTTTCAGGGTGCAGATTCAAAGTGGAGAGGGTGAGGGACACGTAAACGAAGTGTGTTTCCCTCCGCCCTGAACTGTTACGACACCCAACCAGGGTCGCACCTCCCAATTACGCTCCCGAGCTTGGCCGGGGTTCTGACCCCACCCAACACCCCAATGGCGGCACCTGGGTAGCTAAATCCTATCCGGAGCCAGAGACATAGACTCAACACTATCCTCAGACCCTATTCTACCTCTTTTGTAGTGCGCTTACATTTCCATTTGCTGCAAGGAAGACAAGTACCAACCCTGACCCTATAGCTCCGAAGCTTAAACCATCAAACCCTGGACTCTCAACCTTTAAAACCCTCAACTCTCGAGACCGACTTCTTTCAGCTTGGCAGCATAGGGCGGGTTCAGGTTCTGTGGCGCAGCCTTGGAGGAGCGCGCGAGCTCCGCCATGGTAGCAGCATCTGCCTCCTTTGGGCACATGTTGGTGCTTAGCAATCACCGGTCGTAACGAGCAGATCACGACATTCCTTTACCTGTTCAAGAGGAAGCACATCTCTGGTTGTCGCGTTGGTCTACTTTGGCTAGGGCTGTTGCGTCAACCGAAAGACAGATTAAACTCCGCCGGAACACGAAAAACCGCTAGGATACACAGCCTGGCCCCAGTAGGGAAGACATAAAGCCCCGCTCAGCCACACCCTATCCAACCCTAAACCCTAAACCCTAAACCCTTAACCCAAAACCCTAAATCCTAAACCCTAACCCTAAACCCTAAACCCTATCCAAGGGCCGACATCCTACAACAGCCGTACACTCTGCAGGAGGGCGTCCTCCGGCATCACCCAGACCGCGTTGATGCCACCGCTTGGGGAGGCTTGGCTGATTCCGTAGGCCGCCCCCCTGCGCCGAGCCCGCGCACGAGGGTTGAAGTGAGCTTAGAATTCTAGGGGGGCTTGGGCTTTCGGATTCGAGGGTCTCTTAAGGCCGGCTTTAATTGGCATGTGGATTGTAGGGTTGGTATCCCCAGGATTATGGCTTCAGCAGCATCTGGGGGTCTAAGATTTTGGGATGTTCGGGTTCGGTGGCAATAAGCTACAATGCAGCTCACTTGTTGCAGAACTGCAGCGAGTTTTCTGCCAGAAAACTAAACTATGCCTGAATGCCATGCCATAGTGCTGCTGTCGTTGCCCCTCGCGATTCTACAGGCATACATTTGCCTGTGTATGTGTATGCGCAGGCATCAGTGCGATACAACTCACCAGGTGCATACAGATAGAAAGACAAACAGGCAACTAGACAGCCAGCACAGGCACAGGCAGAGAGTGCAAGAGCGGCGGAAGACCGAGAAACAATTAGATACTTCGAGACCGTATCTGGCTGAGTGAAGCAACAATCCCATAAATCTATCCCAAACGATTATACTCATAGGCTCCGTAGTAGTTCCTTTTTGGGATTACCTTATAGGATTCTAAATATGAACCCCAACAAAGGAACTACTATGGAGCCTCTATAGGTAAGCCCTGAATGCTGCCTGGGCCCGTTGGCCAGAACCTTCTGTGCGTCCTGACAAGGCAGGACGGAAGGGAGGCAAGCACAACTTGCGAAAGCGAGATTCGCCGCTTTAGAGCATGGCAAGGCGTAGATTGCAGGCTTCACAGGGCATGGGCTTCGGGGTGCAGGGTTCAGGGTTTTGGTTGTTAGGGCTCTGCCCTGCGAAGATGAAGATGCGGACATGTGCAACCACCCCAGAACCATAGTCAGCGGCTGTCGCGAGGGTGTCGATGGTAGTTTTGGGGGTGGTGTTGGCGGTCAAGCTAGTGCAGGTAACCACAATTGCGCTTTGGTGAAAACGCTTTCCAGGACACGGGCCCGGAAATCACGAATTCCGAACAACTTGAACAAGTGCTTTCTCGAGGTGCCTCCCTAAACCCTACAAGCCTAAATCCTAATCTGTTGATAGAAATGCTTTCTCGAGGCGCCTCCGAAGCCTGCGTCTCCTCCTCCTGGGGAGGCTCGCCCCGTAGCCAACCGACAATGCCAGAGACCTGAACACTAAACACTGTAGTACACGGATCGGGTTGCAGGCGTTCCTTGGGCCTCTGATTTACATCGGAACCTGTTCCGCAGTTTATCTTGGCAGGCTGGAGGCTGGAGGCTGGATCAGCTTCTTGTCATATTTGGGGGTCCTTATAATAAGGATCCTACTATTTAGGGTACCATATTAGGGTCCCCTATACAAGTCTAAGGCTGGGTTGAGAACTCCAGTCAGTTCACCGGTGAGTCTGGAGAGTTCTTGGTCGCAGGCCACCGCATGTTGGAACTAGCAACATGTTATCTATCGCCGCTTCTCATATTCCCGACGTCTTCCCAAGACTGCCTGCTCCGGTAGGTGCAAACGTCATCGAAAAACCATGCATGAGACTAGTGTGCATACACCTTGCAAGTAACTTGGTTTGTTTCTGCGATGCACGAACTCTAACACAATTGACGAGGTGATCTTCTGCCAAAAAACTTTGTACTCCCAGAGAGAACTGCCGGACGCTGTAAGCACGGCCCTCTATGAACCTTGCGTATCAAATCTTCGATCTCAGGCCGCGAAGCCCATGCTCCAAAAACACTAGCCAAGGATTCCGGTCTCAAGGACATAGTCTAGAGGTTAAGCCAGCGACCCCATCGATGAGAATGTCACCGGCCTGAAGCAGAAGTTAGAGGCTGCTGTTGCCTTCGGGCTTCCAGTTGAGCTATCTGAAGTCAGGCGATGTTGTGAGCAGCCAGTGGCATAGCGACCCGATCACTGAACCCGAAACCTGAAAGGAAGGATTGGATCAAGGCCTAGGGGTGTACAAGGTGGCGTTGTGAGATTTGTTCCGGAGTATTGTTTCCAGTTTGCACTGGCGTGGTTATGAGTTGTAGGGACGCTTTCGAGCAACCACACACACAAGGACCCGACACAACCTGCTAGATCAGAGGGATCAGGGTTCAGCATGTAAGGGCTCAGATTTCAAACTCAGGGTGCCCTGCAAACCCGGAACCTCGACCCCACATAACCTCTCCTACGGCCGAGTTCGTCCTGAATCTAAATACCTAGCAGCCGTCCAAAACCCAGGTCAAACGACAGCATGTATAGCCATGGCCCTAACTCGAAGAAGCCAGACTCCGAAACGAAAGCCTGCCACAGTTAAAGGAGAACAGCAACACAGCTCCGCATTCCAAGGATCTCTCCAAGCCCTCACAGGTCACAAATCCGCCACCAAAATAACCGCGAAGCCAAAGATCCCCAACATCAACATTTTAAACATCTTGTGGGGGTGCAAGTAGTCCTTGCTTATGGTTCTTGGTACCATTAAAAAAGCCATAAAGTCCTACAGTAGGGAGTACTTAGACCTTCTGTGCAACCACCCAAGGGTTTCGAAAACGACAGAGATACCTATCAACATATCCTTAACGTAAGACCTCCCACGAAGGACACCTCGGTTTCAGGAAAACGAACCGAGGAGTCGAAGAGCCCTCCGTTCCTTTCAAGTTGCTTGGCTCGGGCCCCCAAGACCTGTGAACCAAAAACCGAACAGGGTTCCTTCGCCGCCAATAAAAACTGACCATAACACGTAAAAGAACTGTGTGTGATGCTGCCCGATGGTAACTGAGCACAAGTTCCTGATAAACAAACCCCTGTACAAACCGTATAAAAACAGATATTCAAAACTCTGGCGAAGCTAGATCAAGCCTCAACAAAGAACCCTGTAAGGACCCTATCAACTGAAAACCAACTTTTCAAACATCCATTTGCCACAAAAGGTCACGAATAAAACACTATGTAAAACTTACAGAAGCCGATCAACAGGTATCTGCAGCCAAAGCGCATCGGCCACAGCATCCTTCACTGCTCCCACTGCGCCCTTTTCTTTGAAATCCTCCGAAGGGTGGAGGAGTCTACGGCTTTGTTTTCGAGCACCTTGTCTATTTCAGTTTACAGGTTGCAGGGTTCAGTCTGGGTTTGAGCGGGTTGGTCTGTGATGGGTGTCACAGGGATCATTCTTGTGGCAAGGCAGCTTAGCTGAGAGGAGTCCTCCTTGCATGAGGAGGTCCTATAGGTCACACAAATGTCATTCTGCTACAGCGGACGCGAATGGATAACCGATAGTCATGGCCTTTTTTGAGCGTGGCTGTAGCTCATGTCATCAAACGGCGTAATTGATCAGGATACACTGTCATGATCAACGCTCATCCTCTGCGCCCAGCTGCTAAGATGGGTTTCTCAGATGGCTGTCATGCTAGACTCCATCGAATTCCAAACTAAAACTGGTTGTTGGTCGTTTCTCACGATCCTAAAGGAACATCCAAAATCCAAAAAAAAAGAGCCGTTGCCAGACCATCTCCATCCACGCTGCGAAGCTGGTCTATGTAAGCACGATGCAAGTGCATTTAGATACGGCAGTTTGCCGTTGTTGTTGGCTTGGACATAGCGGCTGAAGGGCACTTTGGTCTAGACATACGCTCAGCGAAGGGTTTTGGGCAGTAAGATTCGTTACCCTCGAAGTCTTGATCACGAGTATCGATCATGTCGCGAACATGGTGGGGGATACAATAAAACATGTGGTTCTCCAAGGGAGGGTTTGTGTGCAAGGAATCCGTGTGGTTCTCGTCTTTGAACCCCAGGTGGACGAAGCATCCGATCCTGCACGGTGAGAGCAACCTCCTCGCCGACGATGCCCTCGAAATGGAGCCGGTGTGAGTTTGGGGTTTACCGTCCAGGGTTTAGGGTAGAAGTTCATGGTTTCAGGTTGAGGGTTCAGCACTCTGAGAGCTTCAAGTGTCTCAAGAGTTTTAAACATTGGAGTGTAAGGGTACTATAAGTCGCCGCTTGCTAGGTGCTCCTTGTGGGGGGTGCTGGCCTTGGCTATATAATACCTGGGGGCGATGGTGGCTCGGTAGCCGACGTCGTGACTTCATGTTTGTGATGCTTGTGTTTGCTGCGGCTACCGTTGAAGATGCTGTCCCGATGACGTCCACGTCGTCGATGCTGTTGCTGTTGCTTCCGCTGCTGCTGTTGTTGCTGTCGCTGCTGCTGATCCGACACATTGATGTTTTTGTTGGCAACCCTTCTCACACTCTTCGTGGCTAGTAGCTAGTTCCACCAGCCTGAAGTAGCATCCTCTGTCAGTCTCTGCGTAATGCGTTGTAATGTACGGAAAAAAGAAGCAACCCACCGAGAACAAACAAACGGCCACTGTGTCCATAGTTGATATGACGACCACCCCAGGCGGGTCTGCAAGTTTGCCTTGGCTGCTGACCTCTTTCATTCCCAAATCTTACATGGCGAGTCCTCCCCACCTCCAACGACTACGAGTATACCGATTATATCCTTCAAAATAGGTCCAAGAGGCACCAAGGTTGCGAACCGCACGCTTCGCCACGTTACCTTCTTGCTGGCAAGAGCGTTTGGCTCTTGTCATGTGCCAAGCGAACAGGGTGCAGTCAAGACTGGGGATGCTGGCTTGTGTTTTCAGGCAGGGAGGGTGCTTGTCGAGAGGGTTTGGTGGCTTGGAGCTTCGGATTGTATGATATTGCATGGACTTGGTGTGCTATTTCGTTCTGCACTCTATTTCGACCCCCTGAACCCTAAAACCAGTTCTTCAGCGGTGCTGCTTGAATAGAAGGGCCGGGAAACCCAACTCCCAGAAACTTCCACGTCCCCAGGGTCATATTTCCACTGACTACGAAGTCACTGCGTCTTCAGACCGCTGTATAGCAGAGCAGTGAGATAGTAAGCCACAAATGATGTAGACCCAGCTGCTAGGCTGCCAAACAGAACCCGAGAAAAGCCAAACAAAACATTGGGTGCAATTCGCTGCAGCATCTTTGACGTACAATAGCGCTTTTGCACTCCGAAAGCCCCAAAGGCCCCTAAACCCCCACACTCTGTTGTGTCGAAAACACGAAAACCCTGGTTAGACCCTAAAGCTCCGAATCCCCTAAATTTCGGAAAATAGTACATCAGCCGAATTCCTCGAATTCCAACAACCGCGATGCCTGTGACCAGCCTCCCGAACCTCTGTTGGACTCTAAAACTGGGCCCAGAAGACCTCGAAACCCGAAACCTCGAATCCCGAAGCCCTGGAGGAACCCTAGGGTTTTTAGGGCTTCGGGTTAAAATATAATCTGCTAAAGGGTTTTCTCCCTGGGTTTAGGAAAATACTAAAGGGTTTTTTCCGTCCTACTTGGCCAGGACGGTATATTAAAGGGTTGCGGTTTACCTATAGTCTCCATTGTAGTTCTTTTTTTGGTTTAATCAATCTTATATTAAGGATCCTAAAAAGTAACCCCAGAAAAGGAACTACAATGGAGACTATAGGTAGGGTTTAGGAATCGCAAACCCAAAGTCCGGTAGACCCCAAGAAGCCCTAAGGCCAAGCCTGCTGTCTCGTCCTCCAGCGGTGGTGGGTTCACGTTGCCGAAACCCTGCTTGGGTAGTTGTCAAAACTATGGCCCCTTCTTGGGTACCCTAAATGTCAGGTGCCGTAATATATATATATATATATATATATATATATATATATTAGGGACCCCAAAAGGGACCATAATTCTGACAACCACCCGCGTGCAGGTCATCTCATTTCTGCAAGCTTTTGGCCGCTTTCAGCCGGCAGGATGCTCGAGATTTAGTAGGGTCTAAGGACCCTATACCCTACTAACTCCCCTAAACCCTAAACTTTAGGGTTTAGGGTTTAAGGGGGTTTAATGGATTTCGTAGGGTATAGGACCTTAGGAGTCTATAGGGCCGCAGGGATATCAGGCTCGCAGTTGAGGGCTTCGAGTCTATGCTTTGAGCGCTTGGGTTCGTCCGAAACAGCAGGCATTGTCGGACTTCTTACATTTGGTTAGTAGGGAATGGAAGAATGGTAGTAATGGTAGCTAGAATTGTACCCCATTCCTCCATTCCCCACTAACCAAAGGTAAGTAAACCGCAACCCTGAAAAGCGGGATCGGCCTGAATGCGCTGGGCAAGGGCTGCTCGATCCTCAAGCTTCCACGGGGGTTGAGGTGTAGGGCTAGGGTTTGAGGGTTCGCAGGGTTTAGGGTTTCGGGCTTCAGTAATTCAAGGATTTGAGGTGTTAGGGCACATGAAGAATGCGGAGGAGGCGCCGGCACACGCCAGACCAGTCTAGGCTAGCACTTGCAGGGCTTGGGGTTCAGGGTGTTGGAGACTTGGAGTTGCGGCATTGCCAGGGTTCAGGGTGCTGAATAGAAATATGTAGAAAGCAGGAGCAAGGAATGCTCGGGATCTGTTGTTCAAGAGTGGGTGTCGAGGGAGCTTTTCTACACTGCAGTCCATCACATGATCTCTTCGTAATGAGTTTTCGTGTTGACTAGCCAACCTCAAGGCTAAAATCTAGCCCCCCCTTCCCCACTCCCGCCAATCAAGCCGAAGTTATCAAGTCCTGGAAACCACAGCAGCGCTAATTACACGACAAAGCCGGTAAACCTGGCAACCCAGACCCATCTAAACCTTAAGCCCGAAGCCCCTACAGAACCCTTATTCTAGTATCCGCAGAACCTCTATAGAAACTCCAAGAGGCCCCCTGCGCACCCGACATTAAGAAAAGCCGGAGGACCTGCTGCTGCTGCATCACGGCTGCGGCCATCTCTGCCTGTGACTTGGCGTTTCACTTGCGAGGCGTTTTGGGGCCCAGGCTTCAGACTTGTGTGGCTTTTGGGGGTGTAGAGTTGGTTATGGATGGTTGCGTGGCTTCATGCTTCTATTACTCTTCTATTCTAAAATGGTCCGGAAAGATTCTTGGAGGCTTGCGAGGTAATCCTGAACCCGGCTATGCTTTTGACTAGGGGGTGTGAGGGTCGGACAAGTACTCAGATCCCGATACTTTACCCAGTACTTTAGACAAAGATCAAAACACACGGGTTTAGCCCCATGCACAGCCTAAGCCCTAAATCCTAAAATATTACACCGCCGTGCCTTCTTTCCGGGATTGAAAACTCCCAACATGCAGTTGCCAGAGATAGATAGGTTCCTCAGCCTCATGCGAAGTAGAGGTCGGCAAGAGCCTTAATAATAATAATAATAATACTAATAATAATAATAATAGTAAGAATAATAAGAATAGTAATTAGAATAGTAATTAGAATAGGGTTTTGGGGCCCGGTATACTATAGTTATGACAAGGAACCTCCAAGATGGTATTTTTGAAAACTTGGGCCCCATATTAAACCCGAGAGCTGTGCATTGGGATTCCGAAACTCCCTCCGGCCAGCACAGGCCCTAGCAATTCCGGAAAGAGCTACACTTTGCTTGCGGTAGCTCACACCCCCAGGGGTCGAAAGGACCCTAGAACTAGGTACTCGGTTTTAGGATAGTAATCATGCAGGCTGGATTCCGGAGAGTGTATGCACTTGCGTTACAAAAGCTACTCCAGTCCCCTGAACTCCGAGCACTAACCCATAACTGACGTGTAGAGGCCTCCTTCCAGTCCTTGGCATGTTCCCTCAAGTCCTTACCCAGAGGCCCCAAAGTAGTTCCTTTTTGGGAGTACCCTATAGGATTCTATATATGAACCCCAAAAAGGAACTACTTTGGGGCCTTTGGGTAATTCCCCTTCCCATCAACGAAATGCCAATAGTGTCACGCCGAACCCTTGCCCAATTGGATCCTCCAATATCCCCACGTCACAAGGGTACCCCGTCTCCGAGCTGTCAGCTTTCACAAAGAGCTCCCCGAAAATTGATAAATTGGTACTGGGCTGGCCTGGAAGCCCAAGCAAGAGCCTTAACTTAATCCTAAACCCTAAACCCTACAGTGCAGACAAAGAGCCACGAGAACAGGGACAAAAACTGGCAAAATCTAAAATGGCCCGGTGCCCAGTGAAGGGAGGGTGGAAGAGCCGACAAGCGACGGTGTCCACACATAAAAATAATAATACTAATAATACTAATAATAATAATACTAATAATACTAAGAATACTAATAATAATAATACTAATAATAATAATAACAATAATAATACTAATAATAATAATAATAATAGAGTTCAGGGTCCAGGCCCCGTTATTCGCTGTAGCGCCAGGAACTACGTAGCTGTTCGGCCTGAATGGGTCTGTTCTACATGAAGATCCCTGCATTTGGGGATTCCAGGGTTTGCTTAGGACCTGCCAGCCGAGGTCTTGGTCATATACTTTGATGTTGCTGCTGGCCTCTACACATACAGGGCGGTGACCAGCTCAGTCGGCGGACCCTACCCTTTCAAAACCGAATCCCCAGAAAGGAACCGTAAACGAACACGTCCACAAGCCCACGAATGCGTTCCGAACCGCGGAGTATTAAACCCTCAAACTGAGGTTCGAAAGCTTAAGGGCTTAAGCCTCCCCTGATGTAACTTATGGGGTGCTACGGAATTAGAATAGTTCCAAGGTATACTGTAGAAGAATCGCGAGAAGGAGCCCTCCGGATTTGTTCAGCGATTGCTCAGGCTTAGACATTACCTTACTTGGAGGGGGGTTCATATTTAGAACCCTGTAGGGTAATCCCGGAAAGGAGCTACTATGGAGCTTATGGGTAGGGATTATCTTAACCTGTTGCACTTCAGGACCGTGCGAAATATTCTTTACAGCACCAGGCATGTAATAGAACCCTCTACTGCGGCAGTTTAAACTGAACCGCAACGACAGCTTCAGCTCTAAAAGAGACTTCTAACATGACACAACCTAAAACAAAAAGATCTCTCGGCTAAGACACCCACTGGAAGAGCGGCGCCCATGGGAAGTAATTGGGCTCTCAGCAGTCTCTCTGTCTGTCTCTCTCTGCGCATTCTCCTGCAACACGAAAGTCTTGCAAAGCCTCAAGTGCTACATGAGACCCCAGCCCCCAACGCAAGCAAAGCCACCGGCGACGAACCCGATTTCCCCTCGGAACCGCCCCCACTCCAAGAAAAGAAGCAAAGCCCCAGCATGTCCCAAGTCCCTCGAACATCCACGAACCAGAACTTCACCCTAAACCCTAAACCCTAAACCCTAAACCCTAAATTCAACTCGAAACTTAAACCCTTTGGCAACTGCACTTGAGTTGGGACCGAGGCGAGACCCGAAACCCTGGAGCCCCACCCAGCCCCTGCAAGCCCTGAGCCCCGGAGCCCCAACACCCTCACAGAAAATGCCCTTAAGCCCTATGAACCCTAAAACCGCAACCCTCAGCCATTGTTGAACCCGCATAGAAACCAACGCTAAACCACAAAAAAAAAAAGCCCAACCTCTAAGCCGTCACCCAAACCTTTGAACCTTAAGGAGATGGTAAGCTTGTCTTGGCCTCAGACTCTGCACTTCGTGTGCCCGTGCCGCAAGCCCTGGTGATTTTGCTAGCATCCTGCAGTGCATCCAGTAAAGGGTCTTTCAGGCCCTTACGATGTTGCTTTCGGGCATTACAGGGGTCGAATGACTGAGACTCAAATTTCAGGGTCTGCTCTACAGTACAACTATTGGGCAGTGTGCAGTATACATGCACAGCCTCCCACCACTATTTATACTGTGTCTTCTTATTCTAGTCTGTTGGGACTCAGGGTATCATCTGAAGTTTTAGGGCTGTAGGGCTTGGTGTCCAGGCATCTTAAACCCTAAAGCCTAATGGCTTCCGTAAGCTACAGCACGCGGACCTCGGCCCCAGAGTCTTTGGGAAAGGCCTTCGCTTCGTTTGAGGGAGCTATGGCTCAGGGGTTCAAGCTTTGGGGTCGGTTGATTCTCAAGCTCTCCCTACAGTCTCCATTGTAGTTCCGTTTTGGGGTTACCTTTTAGGATCCTTAATATAGAATTAGTTAAACCAAAAAAGGAACTACAATGGAGACTATAGGTCTCTCTCTCTCTCTCTCTCTCTCTTCTGCAGATTGTGCGGAGAATTGGGAGAGGTCCTAATGTTATTGTGTGAACCGAGCGTCCAGGTATTTCCATGGCCCATGCTGCTCGATCCTCAAGCTCGAAAGCCACCTGAAGCCTTAAACCCTACAGCTCAGATCCTTGTGCCCTGTAGGGGTTTAGGCTTCAGGGTTTCAGTAGGGTTTAGGGGCCTGAATGGCCTGAAAGGACCTCGTATAATCCCTTCCCCCTAATATTAAAGGCCCCCCCCTCCCTTTTTTTCACTGGATTTCGGAGGTTTAGTTTTAATATTAGGGGGGGGTTCGGTGCATCCGCGCACCCGGACTCCCAGCTGCTAGCTATCCCAAGCCTGGACTAAAGCCCTAAGCCCTAAACCTCGAGCCCCAGACCCTAAAGCACTGAGCCCTAAACTTTAAGCCCTAAAGCTTCAGCCCTGAGCCCTAAACCCTTAAACCCTAAAGCTCTGCTGTCTTTAGTACTACTGTAATCTTCGTTCAATTAGAACACATACAGATCTAGCCCCCCCTAATGTTGTCCCTTTTAAATTGAATGTGGTGCCCGAAACCGCGAAATTCCGGGGGCCGGGAGTTTTTACATTAGGGGGGGTTGAATGTTAGGGGGAAGGGATTAGTACAGCAACAGATATAGGAGCCCCTTACGGCTGCCCTTTTTGTCGATTTCTGGCGCAGCCGGCGGGTCTAACGCATCCGCGGGTAGCTCAAGAACCAAGACCGACTCCACATGGCGCGTCTGCGGAAACAGGTCGAAAGGCCCTCGGCACCGTGCGGTTCGTACTACATCCACTTGACGAGTCGGGGTCTACGCATCCGGTGCCTATCGCTCCTGTCATTCCAAGTCCTATCTCTTCTGAGCAACACATATTCGTGAGATCTGCTCAAACTTATGTAGATGCAATACTTGCCCTTGGCAGGGAGACTGTTCAACACCTCGTCTTGCTCAGTGAAGCTTGGTGTCCCTTGGGGTTGAAGCTCAGCCTTCGTGCCTCGACTACGACGACTGCTACTATACTACTACGACTGCTACTCCTCCTGCTGCATCTCCAGGTGGAGGGGCGCTCCGAGAACAACAGACATGCTGAGTAATGTTGAGCAGCCGAATCAAAGTCTAGGGCGGAGTCTCTGCAGAAAACTACACCCTAAACCCTTTTGCACAGACTTGCACATGCCCGCCCAGGCCCCTAAACCCCTGAACCCTGGCCCTAAATCCTAAACCCTGAATTTTTTTAACGTTAAAAAACCTGAACCCTGGCCCTAAATCCTAAACCCTGAATTTTTTTAACGTTAAAAAACCTGAACCCTGGCCCTAAATCCTAAACCCTGAATTTTTTTAACGTTAAAAAACCTGAACCCTGGCCCTAAATCCTAAACCCTGAATTTTTTTAACGTTAAAAAACCTGAACCCTGGCCCTAAATCCTAAACCCTGAATTTTTTTAACGTTAAAAAACCTGAACCCTGGCCCTAAATCCTAAACCCTGAATTTTTTTAACGTTAAAAAACCCAAGCCCCAGCCCCCAAGGACCAGAAGTGCTTTCCAAGGCGCGAACTGCCTGGGGCTTGTAGCCGGCGGCGTGCAGTTTTCCCAAGTCCCGGGCCTGCTTCAGGGGGTGCCCTTGGGTTCACGGGGGAAAAGGGGGGACCTTTAATGGGGACCCCTACCCTACAATGGGCTATATATTGGGTATATAGTAGCTATATAAAGGGTATATAATAGCTATATTAAGGGTATATAATAGCTATATTAAGGGTATATACCTAGGGGTCCTTCTTAAGGGTCCCTCTATTACCCTTAGATGGGTGTTACCCCTCAACTAAAAACCCTTTTTTGCAGCAGGCCTCGTTGTCCAGCAGCCCGGTTACAGCAAAGAGCCCCTCTGTCCCCCGCTTCTTCAAAGCAAGGAGAGGAGTCGAGCTGACACTCGCGACGACATTATCTGATACGACACTACCTTACTATACTGACTGATTGCAAGACTGTGAAATTCCATGAGCTAAAAACCCTAAACCCTAAACTGGAACCGACTAATGGAGACTTCATAAATCCCCAAAGACAAGTACTTAATAAAATCAAACACTCTCGAAAATCCTACATAATTACTATCCTAAAACCGAGTAGCTAATGATCGGGTCCTTTGGACCCTTGGGGGATAGAACAAGGTTGGGTAGGGCATATCATGTTACAATGATGATGAGGATCAGGAAATAACATTACTAATCGTTTTAAGTTTCTGTCGTGATTCCGCGCTCAAACCGACATCTGCAAAGACACAGGGCAAACCTCCACTTTCAACGTGATCTCCTCATCTTTCTGTCGGTATCAGGGTTTGCTTTAGGTGGATCCTTACAGAAACCCTGGCCCTACGCTTGATCGCTCCGCTGGCCTGCGTGGCAGGATCACAAGATACCTGAAAGGCAATCGCTTCTGCGGGTGTCTCGTTGGTTTAGGGTTTAGGGTTTAGGGTTTGGTGTGCCGGAAATTGTACTTGTAGCTTTGGGTTAGTCATGGTCTTGTCTCCAGGCCAAGATAAAGTCAACGGTCTAAGGTTCAGGGCCCTGTTTCCCGGGTCAATTACCCTAGAAACCCTGAATCCTAAACCGTACCTGCAGATCCTTTTTTGGTTAACCAATTTTATGGGTAGGATCTTATATTAGAGATTCTGGTTAACCAACCAAAGGAACTACAATGGAGACTGTAGGTAAACTCCAGATCCTGAACCCTCAACCCTACACGAGCCCAGAGAAACTCGACGAAACTCCTCCGAGGCACGTAGACCACCCGCCTCGGACGCCACTCCTTTAGAAGGTCACCTCACAGTCTGGCAGCTGAATGAAAAATATGTCGCTTTAACATGTGTGTATATATATATATACATATGTTGTCTATGTATATGTTTATGGGTATGTATGTATATATATATATATATATATATATATATTTATATTTATATTCATGTATTTATTTGTTTTAAAAAAGTATATAGACGATATAAGGTGTATATAAGGGTCTGCGTCATTGCCAATACTGTTCTGTGTTAGGCTTCCTATATTACTATACCACAGGTTGTCCCACCCCAAACCTCTTCTGAGCAATCAGGCCCCGGAATTCCCCTAAGACTGCAGGTACATCAATGGTACCTACCTCGGGTCTCTGGAGATTGAGGATGTGATGTTCGGCTCGATTTAGGATTCTGTTGTCCTATCTGGCAGCAGCCTTCTCTACTAATTCACGGCTTGTGGACACGGCACAACAGCTCTCAACTCTGAACCAGAAGGGCCAGTGCGGCCAAGTCTCATGTATCTCGCGACAAACCTGCCACGATTCAGCGTACGAGTGGGCGCAAGGTCGGCACAGGACAGTCAAGTTGCACCAGGAATAAAGGTGTTGCGCAGGAAAGGTCTGAAGTGAAACTTCTCCGCCTCTTCTTCAGGTACTGGTGTGTGCGGGCTAAGATTGGGTGTCTTCGGGCCAAGGTCTCTTTTAAGGCTTGGGCTCGAACGTTTAGGTTTCAGATTAGGAAACATAGCACCGTAGATTGGGGTAGTCAAAAGACTAGGGCCATGGTAGGGCTTGCTGCAAGCCCTATGTCCAGTCAATCTAACCCGAAACCATCAACACCACGAGCCTTCCAGCCCTTCATTCCGAAACAGCTTCCTGGGATACATCGTGCTCGAAGCCCTCCCTAAACCCTAAACCAGTGCAAATTTGGCGGAAATACCGTGGTTTAGCTTTTCCTGGCTTCGGAGGCACGCTTGAATTGCGAGGGCTCCTGAGCTTTCCTCACTTCCGAAATCCCGGCCCAAACCTTACCCCCTAAATTTTAAACCTTACAAAAGCCCTAAAGCCCTAAATGCTAAACCTTGCATCCCAAACCTTAAACCCTACATAAACCTTGAACCCTAAAGCTCAAGCCGCATATCCTTTATCTTCCATCCGAAGACTAGAGGCGCCTTAATAATTAGAGTGGGGTTTGGGTGTCTTGTATATATCATACCCATAAGAAGGAGCCCCCAACCCCTATTCTAATTATTGAGGCACCTACATTAAGCAAGTCAGCCTTCTCGCGGAGGATCCACTACCACTGCGGACGACCGGGCTGGAGCCTCCTGGAATGCCGGTTGGGTTTGACACTCACTCTCGGACAAGCCTAGGGTTCAGGGTCCTGGTTTCCGAAAGAGGTTTAAGGCTTGGGATATTAGGATTTCCTAAACGCTTTAGCCGAAAAGGGGTTTCGTCCAGGGGCTGTTAGGGTCACTACACGACTTGGTCGAGGGTCCTGCATGTTTTACTTCTGAGGGGTCGTTCAGGGCTATGGTTTGAAGTCTCGGGATTATGCCGACAAGGCTTTCGGACACAAGGATTAATTAATAATTAAGCTCTAGTAAAGGTCTTAGTTAAAGGCGCCGAAGGCCCCAGAGCTTTGGGTTTGCAGGTTAAGGGCTTGGGGATGGGGGAGAGTCTGCTTTTCCCTAGCAAGGACGAGTCTGCATTACAAGTAACAGAGAGAAACAGTGGACGATTGCAAGGCGTCGCGTAGGGTCTTCAGGGTTCAGCCTGTGAGAGCTTGCATACGGTTGGGGTGTAAGTTTCAGGCTTGCGGAATTCACGGACCTTGATTGCTATCTTGTGTTCCGGGCTTGCAGCCGAATCTCCTTGGCCACGCGCGCCAAGCCCTTCCGCGCATCGCCGCGAATGAAGGTCGCGTTGCTGATTCCGTTCAGCTTGGCATTCCTAAACAGATGCAGAAGAAAGGAGAAGCAGCCCGTCGTGGTGGTAGAAGTAGTAGTAGCCCCAGGAGTGGTAGCCGTAGTCGTATGTAGTTGTAGTAGAGCAGTAGCAGTAGCAGCAGTAGCAGCAGCAGTAGCAGCAGCAGCAGGAGCAGTAGCAGGAGAAGGAGCAGTAGCAGTAGCAGTAGCAGGTAGGAGCAGTAGTAGCAGTAGTAGCAGCAGTAGCAGCAGTAGTAGTAGTAGTAGTAGTAGTAGTAGTAGTAGTAGTAGTAGTAGTAGTAGTGATAGTGATGACGATGAGAGGTGATGACTGGTCACGCCCTGTGTCTTCGGTAATGCCCAAAACCGCCCAGCCCTAATTACAGACTGAGCACAGGGAGAAGTCTCAACGGCCTGAACCTGGCAGTATGAGGTTCGTCGGGCCATTCACCATCAGTGCTTCGGGCAATAGCTCTGCATGTGAAAACTAGAGTTTGAAGGGGTTCGAACCGGCAGGTAAGGACGTTAAGAGGCCTGGTCGCTCTTTGGCCAAGGCAACAGCATTCTTGTCCACTTCGATGCCGAAGGTAAGATCGAAAAGAGCACTGCCTGCAGCAAGGGCCATTCCCTGGGGCCCCAAGCCCGAGGCAACGAAATCAAGTTCTTGGGGTAAAGAAGCTGCGATGTCTCAAAACCGGTGCCGTCCAATAAACCAGACTTCAACCGTACGTGCTGAACCTTTCATCTTGGCGACCATGCTAAAGTGGGCACGTTCTTCAACACTTTCGTTGCAGTGTGTTTCGACGTCTTGGGTTTCGCAGCTGCTTTGCTGTCGTATGCTTGTACTTTGTCGAGAAAAGCCTTTACCCGAGGCAGCCCGGTATATACCTCGACTGAGTGCAGTAACCAAACGGGAGGAGGTGTTCGGAATTTCGGAGACGGAGTGTAGGGGCAGAAGCGCGGACTGGAATTATGCGTTCAACCCAAACTTCAAACAGCGCTATCTCTCGGCCATAGTCTTATGCTCATGCCAGGTGCAGTGTCCAAGATTGTTACTGAGGCGGTAGGCTGCTCATTCTCACTTGCTGTGACACATGAAATCGATCGGGCTCTTCGACATTCGGGCTTTCGGCGTCCTCTGTCAACTGGTGGCCGGCTTTCCCCCATGGGCTGGGACTACGAGGCGACTCTACCTGCCATTTCGGAAGATTTTCCAACTTGGAGTCATGCCGCTCCCGGCTCTAAGGCGTTATGAATCCAACCATATGCAGCACACCCAACTACCTAAACTTCGACTAAAACGCAAGGACTTAAGCAGGAGGTTTGAAGTACCTCCCACGCCACGAGGCACACATGAACTCGAAGCCTCGCTCTCCAAAAGGCTTTAACGGATGTTCCTGCTACAAGTACCTCGATGACGATAAGAGAGATGGCGAGGACTACAAGCAGGATTCCTACCAGTACCACAACAAGACTACTTTCTAATTGCTACTGCTGCTGGTGCTACACTTCCTGACTTACCGCTACCATCATCCTCGTATGGAGGACTACTTGGACCCTTAGGGGTATTTGCCACAGAAACCAAGCCCTCTTTCCGAATCCTTCATTAAGCTTTGAGCTCCGGCAGTCCCTGCCTGCCAGGGCAAACAGCCCCACGCCGCAGTACACATCAATAAGGAACTCGGGGCGTCCTGTCGGCTTTGGAGTTTTGCGCCATGGGGTTCGAGGGCTTAGAGCAGCAGCCGGGATTCACGAAGGCGCAGGGTTTGGGATCCAGGAAAACCAGGAACTCAAAACACTGACGATGCGAGTAGATCCAGGAAGACAAGCAACAAGTGCAACAAAGAGCCTTGATGAACGGGCTTTCGCAGCCTGTAAACTATGCAGCCCGATTCTCCACGTGCCTTCCTCGCCCTGCCACGCCGCGGCGGCTGAATCCACCACGGTGCGCACAAAACTTGGGAGGATCGAGGCATTGACCTTCCAGGACGCGGGATCATGGATTCATCTCCTGCAGCCCTTGTGCGGAAAAAACCCTCGAATGTGCGCAGTGGGAACTTAGAATCTACGGCTTTAGTCATTTAAGCATGTGCTGTCATATGCTCACCGTTTCATGCTTCGAGAGCTCATTCCGAACGCTAATACTTTGTTTGACTTCTGACCCCGTGCCGCACGAAGCCCTCACCCCAACCGCCCCGCCAATCCCCAAAGTAGGCAATCCCCAAAATCTTATATGGGTTAACATAGGGGGGACTTTTTAAGCCCCGAAAATTATACCAAACCCCAGACCTTAAAGCCCTTATTACAGAGCCCTTACTAGAGAATCGTTTAATGGACTCTTCGAGGGTTCTTTAAGGGTTATTAAGGTTTCCTTCAAAGGCTTCCATTGGTCCCTTTAAAGGTCCTGTTAGGCTTCCAGAGAAGAAGGTTTAAGGCCTCGGGCTCAGATGGCTTCACGGCTCCCATCTACGAAGCTGCGTGGCGGAGCCTCAAACCTCAAATCCCAAGCCCTGCACACACCGCAGTAAGGACAGAAGCTTCTTTGATGGCTCAACAGCACTGATTAGTTTTGCACGTCACCATGCACACTCAGCACCTGCAACCGGAGCCCTGCAACTTCAACCCCTAGACTCTACACTTCAACTCCTAAACCAATATTGTCTGATGGAACTTCCCTAAAAAACCCTTGAAGGAGCCGTTACGACTCCTCATAAGAATCCCCATGTGCAGCCGTCCAGGTTGTCAGGCGCTGCATAACCGCGGCACATGCAGAACTTTGGCATTTCTGCCCTAAACTCGGATGAAAAGCATTGTAATCAATAGCCGTTTCTAGAACCTTCATAGAACCCTTGTAGATCCCCTCATACAACTCTGGATAAACCGTCATGGAGCCGGTTTAACCCGAGACTTCAGAAACCCGAAGCCACCCGAGCACCTGGAAAAAACGGCCAGCAGCGAACTTGAACCTCAGGGCCGCCCCGGGTTTGGCTCAAAGTGGTTTTCCTGTTCGTGCTTTGGGTTGCTTAGTGCTTGCAGTTTAGGATATATCTAGCTGGACACCTGTGCGAATTGGGTGGACGGTGTTCCGCTCAGGGTGTAGGGCTGGGTTTGAAAGATGTGGGGTCTGCGGTTCGGGGGTGTTGCATAGGGCTGTTCGCAGGGAATGACTCGAGGACACACCAGGGGTTACCAGACATCAGACTGATGTCGGTCTTCTCGATGTCGTTTGTGCCCCTTCACGTGGGGCCATCCAGGTTTGCAGATGCTGGCAGACAGGGTGTGGTGCAACCTGCTGCATACTTCAAGATTCTGCTAGAGTTCGCCAAATTGGAGGAGAGAGGGACACGGCGATGTCTATACTTCTGCTAGAGTTCGCCAGACGGGAGGAGAGAGGGACACTGTGATGTCTACGTCCAGGATGCCAAACACTGGCTGGTGTCAATGATTGTACCAACAGAAAACGACAGGAACAAACATGCATTTTCAAGGTGCGGGGACAACGGCAACAAAGACGATCAAAGCAAGAGCAAGATAAGACCAACACGAAGAGGAACAGTGAACATAATCATAATGAGAACAATAACAGATACCAGCAGCAGCAGCTGCAGCAGCACCGTCACCACAACCAACAACATCAACAACAACAACAACAACAGCAAGGTACAAACAAAAACTGCAGCCCCGTCAACCCACATATCTGCTTTTTGTCTGTACATTAGGTAGAGACAAAAACAGGAGCCCCGTCATGTTGTTTTACCCCCCCCCCCCCCCCCCCCCCCAACAACAACAACACTGTGCCTGTGGATGCCTGTGTTGTATACTATTTGGTGTGTATTTTCAATGGATTTAATGTGTATGTCACTGGATTTGGTGTGTATTTCCATGATTTTCGTGTGTTTTCCATGATTTTCGTATGTATTTCCATGATGTTCGTGTGTGTGTTTCCATGATGTTCGTGTGTATTTCCATGATTTTCGTGTGTATTTCCATGATATTTTCGTGTGTATTTCCATGATTTTCGTGTGTATTTCCATGATTTTCGTGTGTTTTCCATGATTTTCGTGTGTTTTCCATGATTTTCGTGTGTATTTCCATGATGTTCGTGTGTGTTTCCATGATGTTCGTGTGTGTTTCCATGATGTTCGTGTGTATTTCCATGATTTTCGTGTGTATGTCCATGATTTTCGCATGTATTTCCATGATTTTCGTGTGTATTTCCATGATTTTCGTGTGTATTTCCATGATTTTCGTGTGTATTTCCATGATTTTCGTGTGTATTTCCATGATTTTCGCGTGTTTTCCATGATTTTCGTGTGTTTTCCATGATTTTCGTATGTATTTCCATGATTTTCGTGTGTGTTTCCATGATTTTCGTGTGTGTTTCCATGATGTTCGTGTGTATTTCCATGATTTTCGTGTGTATTTCCATGATTTTCGTGTGTATTTTCATGATGTTCGTGTGTATTTCCATGATTTTCGGATGTATTTCCATGATTTTCGTGTGTATTTCCATGATTATTTTCGTGTGTATTTCCATGAATTTCGTGTGTATTTCCATGATTTTCGCGTGTTTTCCATGATTTTCGTGTGTTTTCCATGATTTTCGTATGTATTTCCATGATTTTCGTATGTGTTTCCATGATTTTCGTGTGTGTTTCCATGATGTTCGTGTGTATTTCCATGATTTTCGTGTGTATTTCCATGATTTTCGTGTGTATTTTCATTGGATTTGCGTGTGTATTTCCATGATGTTCGTGTATATTTTCATTGGATTCGGTGTGTATTTCCATGATGTTCGTGTGTATTTTCACTGGATTTGGTGTGTATTTCCATGATTATGATGTTCGTGTGTATTTTCACTGGATTTGGTGTGTATTTCCATGATGTTCGTGTGTATTTTCACTGGATTTGGTGTGTATGTCCATGATGTTCGTGTGTATTTTCATTGGATTTGGTGTGTATTTCCATGATGTTCGTGTGTATTTTCACTGGATTTGGTGTGTATTTCCATGATGTTCGTGTGTATTTTCACTGGATTTGGTGTGTATTTCCATGATTATGATGTTCGTGTGTATTTTCACTGGATTTGGTGTGTATTTCCATGATGTTCGTGTGTATTTTCACTGGATTTGGTGTGTATGTCCATGATGTTCGTGTGTATTTTCATTGGATTTGGTGTGTATTTCCATGATGTTCGTGTGTATTTTCACTGGATTTGGTGTGTATTTCCATGATGTTCGTGTGTATTTTCACTGGATTTGGTGTGTATTTCCATGATTATGATGTTCGTGTGTATTTTCACTGGATTTGGTGTGTATTTCCATGATTATGATGTTCGTGTGTATTTTCACTAGATTTGGTGTGTATTTCCATGATGTTCGTGTGTATTTTCACTGGATTTGGTGTGAAAACCCTGCATCCCTTCTGGAACTCGCCGAACGCGAGGGTTCTTCACCCGCCCGGATGGGAGATTTCTGGTTTCGGGTGGTTGGGGGTTTTGTGGGGCTAGGTCTTGTTGAGTTTTGCGGTTTTGAGCGCTTGGATTTTTTTGTTTGCTGCTTTTTAGTTTTAATACTTTCTTTGGCCGTGGTTAAGACTTAGGGGTTTTAGATTGTTACCCATACTGACAATTCACAACAACAACACAAGGAACCGAAGCGAACAGCAAATCGAATCGGCATGATGTGCACCCGTGACGAGCTGTTCCCCTCAACCACGGCTGACCTGACTGATGCTTGAACCCCCTGCGAATAGGCACACTTTGCCCAAGAATTTGCGGTCCTTTCACGGCTTGCTGCCGGAACCTACCCTCCTTTGACTTCAAGCACCCAGGTTTTGTCAGCCTTAGGCTTCCAAACAAAACCCGTTGAAAGCTCTAGGTTTGGATGTGCATAATGATATTGGCGAGCCTCCTTCAAAAACTCTGGAACTCCATATTGAGATCCTGATGTAGGCTTCGCGCGCTCACGCTGCTCTGTGGTCGTCCTAGGAATGACATTTTGGCGGGCTAGCTCTTCCATGCGGCCGTGCACTTCTGGAGGGACGAAGGGCTGCCGTTCGCCCAAGAGTCCTGCCGTGCTTTCACCTGTGCTGCCTCCCATGGCCCCAGCGCTTTCACGACCGCCAGCTTCTCCGGCTGAGGTGCCTGCGGTTCCCGCCAAGACTCCGACGTTTGGCAGCTGTTCATCTGTGCCATCCTTCTTGCTTGCTGCATCCAACTCCTCAAAGTACTTGCGAAAGTGATGCACTGCGTTGCAGAACTCAGGCCATCTGTCTTTGCCGGAAGTCATGTAGTACCATTGCTGTTGTCGAACATAGGCGTCAAAACACTGCCGGCCAGCAGGAGTTCGGCCACTCACACCATTGGGGATGTCGTCCTTCAAGGACCGCCACGCTCTGTCGATCGTCTGGGTGTGGCACAATGCATTTCTCATCTCTGGGGGTCGCCAGAGCACTTCTACGCTCTTTGTGAATTCCTGCTCAGAATGATTTACCTGTGCAGCATCTACAATGCCCGGATGGCCCGTGTGGACAAAGGCTGGGGCACTGTCAGAGAACATGACGGCACGGGTTCGGCTGTCGAAACCAGCCTCGTCCAGAGCAGTGCGATACGCATCCTGCCCGATTTGCGGGATTCTCGGCTCATTCACAGAGGTTCGGAGTGGCATCATCTTGAGCCACAGCTTGTGGCTGCCTCGCTCCACGATGCCAAAGTACACGAACCAGTGGTAGGTGACCGTCTCTTCATCGACCTCCTTCCAGCTGAAGACGCAGGTCTCGTCGCACTCGATGAACGCTGAGGTTTGATACGGCAGTCGCCCGAAGATGATCTGGCTCTGGCGCCTCTCTGCGTCGACTGCCATGACCGCTCGGGCACGATGAACCCAGGCTCTTGCATACGGCTACGAGACGTCCAATTCCCGAACGATCTGGGTCAGACTGTAGCCTTCCACTGTCATGTGGTATGCGAGGATGGCATAGGTGGGCCCCCAACACCCGTGCCCGCTCAGCTTCGGAAACAGCACGTTGTTCATCGTGACCGGGTATCTCTGTCGGCACCTGAGTTAGGACACCGGGCCGCAAAACAAAATTACACAAATAATGCCACATGTGTCGTAGTGATGGTAATGTTTGTTAGAATCCTCCCCTGCTCTGATACTGAAGGGGGGTGTCCGCCCCAAGAGAAACTCAGAAAATCAGATTCTTTTGAGCTATGAAGGTGTAATTCCCTTAAACTCTCGAACATAAAGCGGGGTGGCTATACAGATCAAACACAATGCGGCAAAAATGTAGTTCGGCTGTGACTGAGCTGTGACTCGGCTGTGACTAGGCTGTGACTCGGCTGTGAGTTGGCTGTCATTTGGCTCTGATCTGGCTGCGATACGGCTCTGACTTGGCTGTGATTCGGCTGTGAGCTGGCTCTGATCCGGCTGCGATTCGGCTGTGAGTTGGCTGTCATTCGGGTCTGGTTTGGCTGTGATTCGGCTTTGAGTTGGCTGTGATTCGGCTGTGAAGTGGCTGTCATTGGAGTCTGATTTGGCTACGATACGGCTCTGACTTGGCTGTGATTCGGCTGTGAGCCGGCTGTGATCCGGCTGCGATTCGGTTGTGAGCTGGCTGTGATTCGGCTCTGAATTAGCTGTGATTCGGCTGTGAGTTGGCTGTGATTCTGCTGTGATTCGGCTGCGACTTGGCTGTATATTGCCTGTCATTCGGCTCTCAATTGGCTGTGATACGGCTCTGATTTGGCTGTGACTAGGCTGTGTCATTTGGCTCTGATCTGGCTGCGATACGGCTCTGACTTGGCTGTGAGTCGGCTGTGAGCTGGCTCTGATCCGGCTGCGATTCGGCTGTGAGTTGGCTGTCATTCGGGTCTGATTTGGCTGTGATTCGGCTTTGAGTTGGCTGTGATTCGGCTTTGAGTTGGCTGTGATTCGGCTGTGAATTGGCTGTCATTGGAGTCTGATTTGGCTACGATACGGCTCTGACTTGGCTGTGATTCGGCTGTGAGCCGGCTGTGATCCGGCTGCGATTCGGTTGTGAGCTGGCTGTGATTCGGCTCTGAATTAGCTGTGATTCGGCTGTGAGTTGGCTGTGATTCTGCTGTGATTCGGCTGCGACTTGGCTGTATATTGCCTGTCATTCGGCTCTCAATTGGCTGTGATACGGCTCTGATTTGGCTGTGACTAGGCTGTGTCATTTGGCTCTGATCTGGCTGCGATACGGCTCTGACTTGGCTGTGAGTCGGCTGTGAGCTGGCTCTGATCCGGCTGCGATTCGGCTGTGAGTTGGCTGTCATTCGGGTCTGATTTGGCTGTGATTCGGCTTTGAGTTGGCTGTGATTCCGCTGTGATTCGGCTGTGAGTTGGCTGTAAATTGGCTGTCATTCGGCTCTGATTTGGCTGTGATACGGCTCTGGCTCTGATTTCGCTGTGACTAGACTGTGAGTTGGTTGTGATGCGCCTGGTTTAGCTGTGACTCAGCTGTACAGATGGCATATTTTGTCTAATTTTGATAGCCGACCCCGTGCCGACGAACTTGCTCTGCCCGAAGCTAAGCTGACACGGGTTTTGGGGGCCCACATACGACATGACAGTGGAAGCCTACAGTCCGACCCAGATGGTTTTTGTTAAGAAGAACTTATTCGTATGCGAGAGCGTGGGTTCAACGTGCCCCAGAGATGAAGGCAGTCGATGCAGAGATACCAAGCCAAATCATCTGGGGCGACTGCCTTATCAAACATCAGTGACGACACTTTCGTCTTCAGCTGCTAGGAGAGGGCCGAAGAGATGGGCACCTACCATTGGATCATCTACTTTGGCATTTTGGGCGCGGCAGCCAGAAGCTCTGGCCCAGCATTCCACAGATCTGCCAACAGGCCTACCGCTCCTCTGGACAAAGCTGGCTTGGATCCGCACCCACACAGTCATGCTCCGACAGCAATGCAGTCATGCTCCGACAGCAATGCTAATTGGCAAGAATCATCCCCTGCCCCAATATACTAATGTGGGTGTCCGCCGTTGCATTTCGCGTTTTTGATACTTCCCCCATCTGCACACACCCCAGAACTGGGGTTGCTGCAAAGTCCTTGCATTTGCCGTTCCCGCAAGAGCACAGCCCCCGCGCACCGTCCCTCAAGAGTGAACAAAACAACTTATGTGAAAGCCCGCGTGCTGCTGTTCGTTTTTGTCTCTACCCCCTATAGTAGAGGCAAAAACAGGAGCCCCGTCTGTTGTTCTGACCCCCCCTTTACAACAACCACCCAGCCTAGACCGCATTTCTATCATGGGGCAGTTGCTGTGTAAACCATGGCGCGCACTTCCCCAAACTCTACAGGCACCCTATGCGGTCGCCGGAAGCATTCCCAATTGCTTCTAATCAACAACAAGTGCGGGCTGCTGTTTTTGTCTGTACCAACAGCAACAACAACAACGACAACAACGACGACGACAACGACAACCACAGCGACAGCGACAACACCAACACCAACACCAACCCCAACCCCAACCCCAACCCCAACACCAGCACCAGCAGCAACAGCAGAAGAAACACCAAGCACACAAACGAACAAGCAAACAAACAACCAAACAAGCAAGCAAACCAACAAACCAAACAACCACTCACTCAAACAAACAAACAAACACAACAGACACACAAACACAAACACACAAAACAAAAAAGAGACACCAACACAAACAAACAACCAAACAAAACAGACACACAAACACAAACACTCAACCAAACAAACAAACAAGCAGACACTCAACCGCAAACACACAGACAAACATTGAACAGACCCATATACAAACAATGAACATCACAAACACACAGCGAACAAACAAACAAACAGCCAAGCCCGCAAACGAAGACAACACCGTGCAACCAAGCAAGCCAATAAACAAACGCTCAAACGAGCACGCAAACAAACAGAGACAGACAGACAAACATATACACACACAAACATATATATATATACACACACAAAACATTGAAACACTCAAACAAACAAAGACACACACACACACAAACACAAACACAAACACGAAGACACGCACAAACACAAACACAAACCCAAACACAAACACACACACACACACACACACACACACCACCCACACACACACACACCCACGCACACACACACACACACACACACCACACACACACACACACACACACACACACACACACACACACACACACACACACACACACACACACACACACACACACACACCCCCACACACACACACACACACACACACACACACACACACACACACACACACACACACACACACACACACACACACACACACACACACACACACACACACACACACACACACACACACACACACACACACACACCACACACACACACACGCGCGCACGCACACACGTGTGCGCGCAAACAGCCATACAAAGAGCCAAACAAACACACTAACTAACTAACAAAATCAAACAAGCAAGCAAGCAACCAACCAAACAAACAAACAACCAAGCGAACTAACGAACCAACAAACGAACAAACTAAAGTCAACACCAGCAGCAGCAGCAGCAGCAGCAGCAGCAGCAGCAGCAGCAGCAGGAAACGCGCCATCCCGGCTCAAAACCATCTCAAGGTCGAAAATAAGGGGTCTTGGGCCCAAACCGTATATGTAGGCCCTAAATGAGGATCAGCTCCTGGAGCTGTGGATCTTTCAAGGTGTTCATGGATGCAAGCAGCTTTCCCACTCCCGGGATCTCTTCCGTCACCACCTGCCGCGAAGGTCCGTGAGGGATTATGCTTGTAGGTGGCCGGGAACTATACGCGGGCTTCGGTTAATTTTCGAGATCTTGGAACTGGGTTATTCATGGTGTATGCTTTCGGTCGTGGCGGGGAGGGGGAGTGTAGGTTGATGCTTCGGGTCTTCAGCGTTGAAGCTTCAACGAAGGATCGAATTACAAGCTCATCCGCATCCGAAAGCCTGGTCCCACATGTCGCACACCACACCATCCAAGGAGGTGTGCCGTAGCAATGCCACCTCAGAAAAACTGGTTCACGAGAGATACTTCGAAGAACCGCTAAGCCCTAAACCCAAAAGCCTAAACCTATGTTGCGGCGAGCTGCTATGGGCTTCATCGAAAGGACTATCGGGCTATCTCAGTCTGATAGCATCCGCTCCAGCATGTACGCATGGCAAATGCCAGGGTTTGGAAGTCTTTTCCATTTTCATGCAATGAAGCATGATGCAAAACAGGAGTCTGGTTAGCTCTGAACCCAAGCTGAAAGGAGCAGAAGCTACAAGTTCATGCGACCTTTACCAACCTTTCCCCCACCTTCAACCCAGGCCTAGCCAGTTTCAACCTCAGCAAAAATCCATAGTTTGAGGCCCTAAGCCTTAAACCCGGCTTCCTGAATGACCAGACTTCGCAAGGCTGGAAGATCTGCAGAAAACCCTAAACCCTAAACCCTACCCAGCAAGACTTCGTGTCTGTGTCGAGGAAAGCCTTGTAACCGCAAGAAGTGCATGTAGTTCTTGAGCTCCAAAAAGATCACGGCCAGGAGGACAGGAGCAGGACAACGATCGGGACAGAAATGACAAGAGATGTACAAGATGAAACAGAATCATGATGTTACTGATTGCGAGAAAAACCTTTTAAAGCCGGAGGTCCTAGAAACCCGAAATCATGAAGCCTATAAACCAAACCGCTCAGACCCTGCACCCTGCCGCATGCCCGCCTAATCCCCCAAAACCTTACTTTCAGTAATTTCAGGAAAAGGATCCCCAATTTTATACCGCCAGCCCAACTGGCTAGGGCTCCACAGGGGCTGCTCTGAGCCAAAGTCAAGATTTCTAGCTAATTAGCGTGAGCGTGACATGATTCCGTCGTATAGAGCCCTTATCCTAAACCCTAAAGCCTAAAACCAGAATACGATGCCCAAATCGAATCCCGCATCTCTCCCAAATAACGCCCTGCTATGCCTATCACTGACTGCAGCTCCTGCACCCGACGCTTCAAGTATAAACATGGTACTACGGGCCCCTAAATAATTACCAATACCATTTGGGGGGGGGGGGGGGTGCGTATTCCAATTATAGTACACGGGGCCCCAAAACCCTACTTTAATTATAAAGGCTCCTTTCTTTACATGGTACCTGCACATTTTGGTTGCAGCATTACACATCCCCAAAAGAACCCTTACAACTGTCTTTTGGAAGGACGCTTTAGGTTTAGGGTTTAGGGCTTCTCGCCGCACAGCGGCAGTATTTTCTATGTAGCATGGCGCTCCGACACTACCAGGGGTGTCGATTTGAACAGCCCCCTCAATTAGATTAAGAAGTACTTTTCATGCATATATATATATATATACACACACACACACATATACACACTTAGGCTCTATAGACAAACGATCCCAAATCAATACCTAGGTTAGGGATTCCTTGCAGGTCCCAGCGGCCAGTTCCCCACGCTTCCGCTTCGATGCGGATCGCCGAGCTTCTTTGGACAAAGGCCCCTGCAGGGTGTAGGATGTGGGGTTTAAGGATTTAGGTTTGAGGGTTTAGGGGTTTAGGGTTTAGGGGGTTTAGGGGATTTAAGGATTATGATTGAGGCCGGTAGACTTCAAGGGTGCTTCGGGGCTTTAAGATTTGTAGGCTGTACGGCCAAAGGCCTATGGAGCCAATCCCCCTCTAGGGCTTTCAGCTATAGGGCTGCAGGGAATGGGACTGCCTGTGTTGAGTCGCAGGTCAAGTCAAGTGATGCAGGGACATCGAATTTGACTTGAACTGTAGAGGCCTAGAAGAGAACTAGGTGTGGCCGTGAGTAAGCAGCTTCGATAATTGAAAAAAACCTCTGCAATGTCCACGTCTTAATTTTGGGCTGGATGCAATCTACCAGCTTTCGTTGACCGTCGAACTGTTACATCTGCGGTGCGTTACTGTTCGGAACACGATATCAGAAACTTCTTGCCTTCATATATCCAGTGCACAGACACTTGCATTACATGGCTAAGAAGCTCAAAAACTAAGGTATCAGCAACTTCGAGGTACCTATCCTTCACTTCACTCCAAAATTGCCCAACAAGGCGGTGAATTTAGGGTCAATGCCACACCTTCGGCAGTATATGAGCTGAGCAGCCAAGAACTTCGCCGCGCGCTGCCGAAGAGCAACCTGCTTCTGGGGTTGGGGGTTTAGGGTTTAGGGTTTAATGGAATAACCCAAACATGCAAGGTACATCATACCAACCGTAGAGTCTAAAACTTACTAGGCGGTCGGTGTGAAGGACACTGCTGTCAGATTTTTGCGGATTCAAAAAGGTAGTCTTGCGGAACCTCCACGACAAGTCGGGTAATCTTGACAGGCCCTCAAGGGCTTGGGAATGGAACTTGGGGGGTTGAGGGGCTCAGGGTTTATGTTGTCTTAAGGGTTAGAGATGCCTCTTTGACATATATATATATATAGAGAGAGAGAGAGAAAGAGAGAGAGAGAGAGAGAGAGAGACAGAGAGATATGATGGCTGTAGATGTTCAGCCTGCGAGATTCGGAAAGTGTTGAGACTAGTTGCCTCACGAGCTTGTACGTGAACCTGTGGTGTTTCAGCGGTGAATGTGCAGACAAAGGCTTTTAAGCCGGATGTGCTGAAGATAGTGTGCATTTTGAAACAAAGCCCAATACTATAATACTCTTTGACTGGGGCATGCTCCTTCCCGAAAACAGGCTTTTGGCTCTCTTGGCTATTCCCTTTTGCGGTATCCGGAGAACACTGGAGCCACCGACCCCGAAACGATGCGGTTGGGTAGGGTTTAGGGGTTTCTTCTTTGTTGGCACCCACACTCGGACGAGTCCAGGCTAGGTCTGCAGATAGCTAAGGCTCCGAATACACCAGGCTTGTATTTGGGGCTTAGGGTCCGCAACACAGTCAGATAGACGGACGCAAGTCTGGGTGCACACCCTAAACCCTACTCCGAAAATCCTGAAAGTGCAGGAATGTGTAGATAATGCCTCGATGGCTGAAATAGGCTCGCTTCCCATTGTTTTTGGAGATTTTCAATGGCCGATAGTTTTGGCGGTATGCTGCCTCTCAACTGTATCTATCTGTGCAGGTACACGATGAAGATAAGCTTTTACGTGCGAAGTCTTATTCTGATAGTTCCATGTCGTTGTACCGTAGTGGCAAGGCTTCCAGCTGACACCCCAGAAAGCCCGAACCTCCAATGACCCTACACACTGAACAAGATCTAGGAGGCAGGGTAAACCTGCAGGGTTTGGGCATTCATAAGGTGCCTTGGCAGCCGGCAGTGCCGTGTTGATGGCCTTGGAATGGCTCGTCGTCTTGACAGGGTTTAGGAGCGGGTGCAGAGTTGTGACAGAACATGGGCAACTTTATCAACGGCTTACGGGGATGGATCACCACACTCTGCCGGCCAAATAAGGCTAAACGAATAAATCCGAAGAAGCATGGATGCAGTCTACACCCAACTTACCGCTACTAAGCCAAGCTGCCTCTGTTGCCAGTGGGCAGGCCTGGCCCAGGGTCGATAAGAATAACCATTGCCATAGTAGCAAAAGTAATAGCAACAACAGCAATGACTGTAATCACCATAACAAGGACAGCAATGAAAGCCACTGAGGCTTGCAAAATCATCACAATCACTGGAAGCCCAACTACCTGTACAAGGATGATGTTACAGAAGTACAGTAACCTACCATGTAAGCCGCTGGGCTTCTAGAAAATGATAACAATATTAGGTTGACACTGAGATAAGAGGGGTGACAACTAGAGCAGGAGTACAAGGCAGGCAACGGCAGTGACAATGCCAGGTGTGCTTGACAAACGGCGACATTCCAAACAACTGCAGCGGCGCAGCACTCCCGATGATAGTGATCGTAGTCATGACCATCGGTGTGAACCCCTAACTGCGAACCTCTGGAAGCCCCAGTATAGGTGCGTTACAAAATGTATGTGCAAGATGTCGGCCGTGGATCCGGGCTTCAGGAGAATGCACGCCTTTGGCATAAAAAAGGATGTTACTGAATTCTGGCTTAGAAGCTGAACTGAATCCTATATAACTCAGAAGCTGTGCAGTCTGTCGTGTGTGGGCTACTCCAAGGAGGACTAGTTGCAGACTTGAGTTCCCTAATTACCACCACTGCACCTCAGAAAAGTAGACACAACCCTAACCCGGTAACACATAAACACTGCTGGATCCTGGACATGCTGACTGCGAGTATGCAGACGACGCCCGCGGCTAAGCTCTGCAAACTCAGCCTAGACCCTAAGCCCAAAGGCCTGAATTCTAAGACTCTAAGCTGTTCGAGCCTCGATTTCCACAACCGGACGAAAACGGCGCCCGCGCGCATCGCGGTGGTCGCCCCACTCCTGAGTCTGCGGGGCACCCTGTCTGGGGAGGTTTTTTTTGGGTGCCTGGTAAGAGAATACCCCTTCACAAGATACGCCGTTTGTAATCTTTCCTTAGTTTGGTCAATTGTCTTGCCGTCTTGCCACTTATGCATAGTCGGTATGCAGTCGCGGTATCGTAATCCCGAAATCCACATTCGCATAATCGACGTCTGCAGTAGGTCCCGGCCTGCGCACAAATGCCAACTGGGCCATCTGCATCCACATCCTGCCGGGAATCAGAGTCCCAGCGATTCACACGACTCAACTATCGCAGTCCCAGAATCCTACACACTGCGACACCTGTGAAGAGTCCTGAACCCGGAACCATAATATTGACACCTGAAACTGACCCTCAACCCCAAACCAACGGAGACTTCCCCACAAGAGTGCAGGAAGTATAGGGCTTAGTTTATACATTAATATATATATATATATATGTGTGTGTGTGATGAGTCTATACGGATTCCATAGGGGTTGTATAGCGGCTCTATCACGGTACTGCAAGGGTTGCATGCAGGAGTTCGGAAAAGTTTCGAGAAGTGTGCTATGAGGCTCAAAAATGGAGCTCTGATACAGCCCTCTTAGAACTCTTTGTGGCACTTTGGGGTTTAGGCCTGGAAACGGGGATCGCCCCCATTCGGCGCCATACCTTGTAGACGCGGGGTGAGCTTGCGCCTGCCAGGGGGGAATTGGTTCTTTGTGTGGGCTCCAGGAAGGGCTCGCAGCCCGCAGCAAAGCTCCCGGTCAGGGAGTTCGGGTCCCGGGGAGGATCCCCTATCCCCTTTGTGAACCTGGGTCAGCGACAGAATTCAGGGCTTACGGCTCCGAGGCATTCAGGCCAAATTGGTCTTTACGGCTTCGGTTTGCGGAAGGTTCAGGGATCAGGATTAGATCCCGCACATGGCTTCGGAAACCTACATTCGCAAAACAACTCACATAACCAAACCCGAGCGGTTCCTGAACAATCATGGTGTGGGGCAGTGGCAGCTCTACGGCCCATCCCGGCCCACTAAGCGCGCCTGTAATGGTACTCCTTTGGCGATGGGGCCGTTTCCTGGCATTGCTTCGCTCATGCTTATAACTGCGAAGGGTGGACCTCTTGCCGAAAAACATTCAGACATTCGGCTTCTGTAGCTAAGACTGGGTTGCGCTGACTTCGCGCCCCGTTCAGACGCTGGGAACTGGATTAAAGGGTCCGGGCCTGGGTTCAACGAGTGAGATTCGTGCCATACGAAGCTCATGTGGTGGCTTTGGCTGTCGGCCTAAACACAGAGCTGGGGCTTTCTGCACGATCAGAACAACACAAGACAAGCTTGATCATCAACATTTCTTGCACAAACCTACAGGAAACGACTCTTAAGGCTGATGTGTCGCCGATAGACAAGTGCAAACAACAGTTCTACATGTTCTTCCTACGCCGTCCCTGAACCGGAAACGCGAAATCCTCTAGACCCACATTCCCGGCTTTTCAATTTTCACAGCATCATACGACCCTCGGAGCCCAGTCACCCATGAAGATTGCTCGTGCGCTCCTTAAACCCTTTATAACTCTGATATTACAGTAAGTATAGGCTAACACAGCCGTAATTTTTTTATGTATATTGCATGCATACAGTACGGAACACATACATACATACGTACAAACGCACATTTATACGCACAGGCAGACACACAAGCAGGCAGACAAGACTAGACGAGACAGGCAGGCAGACAGGCAGGCAGGCAGACAGCCAAACAGGCAGACAGGCAGACAGACAGACAAACGTATATGTATATACACATATCTATATATGTATATATTCGTGTCAGCGCGTGTGTGTGTGTAGAGGCTCTGACGAAGCCTATCAAAGCCTCTAATCCCTTTCTGCACCCATGACCCAGGAAGCCGGTACATGGTACATGGTTTTTCTGTGCAATGAGGTTGAGTAAAGCTTTCTTTACTTATAGGAATCTCCACGAAGTGCTGGAGAGAGTCGGCCACAAGCGCATCCGGTAGATTGAGGCCGGAGAAATCCTGAGGCAAAGCTCTGCGGCAAACTTCAAAGCTGGAGTTGTAGGGCTTCCTTGCCACCACCTTAAACACATTGACGCGCAGCCTATTCTCCCAGGACCTACGGACCTAGCAGCGACCTAGCACTGCTTTCAGCACAAACCGAAGACACTTACCCACGACAACTCTTGAGGATGTAGCCTCCCGTGCTGCCCCCAGCTAGACCCCAGCAAATCCTTGATGGATGGTCCTATAAGTGGGTGGTTGTCAATATTAGGATCCCTTTTTGGGTCCATAGTACAATACGGCACCTAATATTTAGGGCACCCAAATTCGGACCCTAATTTTGACAACTACCCAAGTGCCAGGGCAGTGGCTGTATGACTCGCGTCTCGAGACATAGACTGGTCTTAGGAGAGGGCGGTGCAGTGTGCGATTTCCGACAAGATCCCTTCAGCAGCTACCGGAGTCATGGGGATGCAGGTCCTCTCGATGCTTTCCAACTGTAACGCACGGGTAGAGGGTATATCGATAGATAAGCTTTAGGATCCAAATATGTGGTACAGGAATACATGTCTGCACCCACGTCTGCATGTATGCCTGTATACATGTATGTCTGTGTGCCTCCAGGGTAGGATCTATGTGTGTATGTAGGTAGGTAGGTAGGTGGGTAGGTAGGTGTACGTATGCATGTATGCATGTATCTAAGTGCGTATGTCCTTCCAAACGCTCACGAAGCACCTGGCAGGCCTACCAAACCGTGCAAATCCCTAAACCAAAAAGATACCAGAAGCCCAGTCCTAAAGACCTCGTCGAACAGCTATGAAGCCAAATACGACCCATACAAAGCCTTAAACCCCCAAGGTCACCGGGCCTCGAGCGTCGACTTCACATGCAGCCTTTTCCAAGCCAGCTCGGATGAATAAGCAAGATGCTGGTACCTGCGGGTTGAAAAAAGGGTTCAGGATTTGGGGGCTTTAGGATTCAGAGGCTCTGGATGTCGGAGTTTAAAGCGGTTAGTGACTCAAAGATCGAAGGGTTTAGGTGCTTGGGATGAGGGGTTTCAGCTGTAGGTTTTCAGAATTCGGTGCTTCTCGGATGTGAGTGCTACCTGCGGTTCAAGTATACCCCTAAGCAAGGTTCCTTGCTGGAAGTCTATTGCTCGGGCATCATATCGTCAAGCCCTTCGGTAGCTGGCATACTAACCCCAACCCTTATAAACCCTAAACCCTAGGGTTTAGGATTTAGGATCTAGGCACCGTCCGCTTGGGCCGTCCAGCGGGCTTCGGGTTTAAGAGGTCGGGTTTCGATGTGGCTAACTGCGTTGGCCATCGTCGTTGAGCGTTCAGGCCCCTGGTTAAGAGCCCAGATCGTGAAGGCCTCACTAGCAAAAAACCGCAGGGTTTAGGGTTTAGGGTTTAGGGTTTAGGGTTTAGGGTTTAGGGTAATCAAATCAAGACCCTCGCTTGCTGGTGTAGCGCTGCACACCGAGTAACCTGTGTTGTCTTGTAGGCTGCTGCCATGAATTAACCGTAGCATGGTAACCCACTACAGTACATCGGTCTACATGTAACTAGGCTCATGGCGACAGAACCCGGCTTGTTGCTGAAGCGCTTGCTCATGCTTACTAGTTTGTAGCACTGTAGCAAAAGCTTCAAGCATCTGCCGAAGCAATGCGGCAAAGCGGCTGACAGCCACCACAAATCGTATACCTTGGCAACGGACCGGAGTGTTTGCAGAGGCCAAGCGTCCGACGAGAAGTTCGGCGGCAAACCGTCCACCACAAGCCCTGCAACCATAAATCTTATAACCTTAGGACTAAACCATGAGCCTTTGTAGAACTCGTTCCACCGTGCACCCATCTATCAGATCTGCTTACACAACTTGTGGGACTTCAGGTGTCACCACTGAATCTGCATCTTGAGTGATCTTGGAGAAGGGTCTAGAGAAGAAGTGTCCTATGATTGGCAACGATTGGCCACAATCGTAGCGCACGGGACGGCACTGCAGTAGTGACATCTTTGGGCGATCAATGCCCGAAATCCGAAAACATCGAAAACGTCGGGAACTCCGACAAAACTGCATTGAACAACAAGACACCCGGATGAAACGATGCAGGCCTACGAAGAATCGATCAACAACCCTGAACCACAAGCCTCTAGACCCTAAACCCGAAGAACCCCCAAACCCAAACTCTGAAACCCCAAAAAAACCCAAAGTCTGAAATCCTAGAACCCCTAAACCCCACTCCCGCCAGGCTTCAGTGGGCACTTTGGCTCCACCCTGTCCGGGGACGATTCCAGCACTCTCAGGAGCTTCGCCTGGTACCAGGTCTCTTTAACAGGCACCTTCGTGGGTCTTTATACTGAGGATGATGATAAGTGCAAAATAGTAATGATAAACAAAAAGAACAGATATATATATGTATGTATGTATGTATGTATGTATGTATATATATATATATACATATATATATATGTATGTATGTACAAATACACATCAACATAAACATAAGCATAGAAGCATACATACACACCTGCATGCATGCATATATGCATACGTTCATACATACATACATACATACATACATACATACTTACATACATACATACATACAAATGAACTATGTGTATGTATATACAGATAGATATAAGTTCACAGTTCTCACACCACCGGGTCAAGCGCTGATGGGCTGAGAAGGGGTGTGGAGGACGGTTTTCACGTCTAGCGTTTAGGGAGCTTGATTACACAGAGTCTACTGGCATCCCCTAAACGACCATCAAACCAAACCGGCATGAACCCTGCACCACTCCCAACCCTAAACCCCGAAGTCAAAACCAAACACAGAAGCAAACTTGTCAAGACACTGAAGAACTGGAATGCGCTGCGAGCTCTTTGAAGTGCTTGTACTGAAGTCTGTCGTGGGCTTGGGTTTCGGGGTTAGGCTTAAGTGACATCTTCACAAAGATGCTGCTCCACAAACCCTGAAAAAAACGCGTTGGGCACCAAACCCGAAACCCGGAGCACACCAGAATCTTGATCCCACAACGGGGCCTAAGCCTTTTTTTGCAGCCCAGCCTCCTGGGCCCTAAACCATGAATCCTGAAAGCCCTGGATCCCTTATAGACCCTAAGCCCTGAACCCCTAAAGCCCCAAGTCCCTATGCCCGAAAATCGCCTCAGAGTAGCGGCTGTAGTTTCGCTCAATGCGGACCTCAGGGTTGTAGGGTTTCGGCGCTCGCACTCGGGCAATCAAGGCGAGGCATGTGGTACGACGTCTGAGAAGTTGATCCATCATACGAGGAGAGGAATACATGATTAGGGTTTCAGTAGGGTCAAGGGTTGTAGGGCTTTGTCTTGAGGGTAAGGATCCCTAACCCCATGAAGGACCCAACGTGTCCAAGTATCAATGCAGTAGGTTCTTATTAGATACTTTTGCCCCCAACGTACATGCTCCGCCGTTATCGGGGCCCTTTCAGGGGCATGAAGCCTGCAAGCGCTTCGGCTTCGGGACACAGCCAACATCATGTTTACGGTGCAAGATATCCCTAAACCCTTTTTGCTGCAGGCTTGCTTGCAAGGACGCCTGGTCCTAAACCCTAATCCTATCCTAAACCGAAAGCCCTATGGAGCCGCATGCATCCTCCCGGTATTCATTGCTGCGCAGGAGCTCCCCGAAAGCCCGGAATCTCATATTGCGCATCCCTAGACTCGACCCGACGCCATGAAGCCTCAAATTGCTCCAGAATGCTGGGATTAGGATTATGCAGAGTTTGAAGGAAAGCAGTGCGATTGGGCGGTGGCCGCGGCTTCCCAAGTTTATGCTGCTGCGGCTGTACCTCTAGGGTTAACAACGAAGCCAAAATATCCAGGATTACATACTTGTTCTGGCCGGGTGCTTGGGAGTAAGTCTAACCATCCCCACCCAAACCCTGAACCGATCCTCCGACTCCATTGATATCCCGGCATTAAGTGCCTGAAGTTTCCGTCTTAGGGTTGAGGGGACGGCCTACATACCTCGATTTCTTAACCGTGAGCTCGTAATCAGAAGTGGCAGAACTGTAACTCCCACATCCCAAACCTGGAAGCCTACGTGAACCTTGGAACGTACATGGTACCCCCCTTTGTCCGAGATCCGAAACCGTTTAAGTTCGATGATTGAAATCCTCAACCTCATATGCTATAGCCCAAACCCCCATCTCAAACCCAAACCCAAACGAAGCTGGCCTCAACCTTCTCTCCAGGAATTGCAAACATCACCATGACGACCTGACTGAAGAGCCAGGGAATAAAGAGGTTAGAACAGGTATTGGGGCGAAGGATTACGGAATCAATACGTACTCACCCCAGCACAGAACCCCACGTAATGAGATCCTTCCTTGATCCAGCAACAAGGACTCCTGATGTGTGCTTTAACCTTCCTGGCGCGGTGGGCTGCATGAGGACAAGTGGTTATTATTAATGAGGTCTTGCTAAAGCATACTGTTGGCTCGAAAGGTTGTGCTAAAGGTGGCGAATGCTTGGCTTCCGGTCGAACAGCCCTAGCCCTGCACACAACATTTGTAGATCCCAAATGCAAATCGTAAGCCTCACGCCAAGCCGATAATCCTAAACCTAAAGCTCTGGATTCCCCCCAAGATTCAGAGCCCCTTTCTCAAACCCGGATGTCTCAACTCCTCAGTCGCGGAAAACCGCAAAAGTCTAGAAACTTTGAAGCAGCCCTAGTACCTGTATGGCACCACATGCTATTCAGGACATGTTGTAAGAGCAAAGCAGTATATGCCTTACACCCTAAACCCTAAACTCCCGAAGTTTCTTGCTCTGCTGACTTTGCATGAAGACTTCGTGAGTGCGGCTACTTGTCTCCAGCTACATCGGAACAAACTCCCTAAACCTAAACCCTAAACCCTTACAGCAGCCATATGGGAGTTTCCGACACATAGAGGGTACCTTAGTTTGGGGTCCTTCTAATAAGGGTCCTACTATTTAGGGTACTATATTAATTAAGGTCCCCTATTTTCGGAAACTCCCATATGCAACCCTTATGACGTCAGGCGGCCCAATCGCTGCTTCCATAGAGGCCAAGTCCCTGGCCGTGGGAGAGCCTGGGTGGAAGTCGCTCTGAGGGCAGCAAGAATAAGAAGAGATTTTGGGCTTTACGGTTTTAGGTTCATAAGGGTTTGAGGCTTAGGTCTTACGGCCTTAGGGCTTTTGTTTTCAGGGCTCTGGGGCTTTGTTTTGAAGGGTTCAGGGCTGTAGAGTTTGGGGCTTGACGACCTTGCGCTGTTTTGCTTCCTGTCGAAGTATTGTCACCAAGGACATGCTTCATTCGCACACTGGGCAGCCATCGAAAGGCTTTTCTACCAAAATCAATTGTTGGGCTGGACATCCTGCAGGCCGAACCATGAACGTAAGCCCGAGAAAATGTTGCACGACATTATTTATAGCTCATGTGTAGTCGCACCGTCTTGGATCGTGTGCCTGAGGCCCGAAACCGTTCGTCGACTGTTATGGGTTCATGACAGTTTGAGGGTTTTTCGGGCCGATGGGTTTACAGCTTGAGGGTCCCGGTTACACGCCAGGGTTCTCGCCAACTTCGCTAGTCTGGGTCGAAGCTTTCGGAATCAGACGGAGCGGCAAGCCTGAAAGGAGCTTAACTGCAACGAGCCCCTGGTCTGAAATCTACCTAGTGGTTGTGAGAATCTGAACCAGAAATTATTCCATAGGTGCATAGTATCCCTCAAACGATCCTGTAACAAATTCTCGTAGTACCTTACGAAACCTATGTGCCCAGGTGCTTGAATCACGAAAATAGAGCTTCGGGGGATGCTACATTACAAGCTTTTCTTAGCCACCCCATGGCATAGAATTAACAATTCGTCCGGATTCTCAACTAATCTCGGGGCCTTAGTCATTAGAATAGGGTTTGGGGGCCCATTATACTGCAATTATAATAAGGAACCCGCAAAAAAGTCTATGTTCGATCAAAAGAGTTTCCAAGAACGGTTGGAAACATCGGATCCAAGCAGCAGCTTTTTGATGCGAAGTTCTAGGATGCTTCCTTCTTCCGGAGGGCCACCCTCCACAAGGGGAGGCAGCGTTGGGTCGGTGGGCGTCTTTCTTGGGTTTTTGGTTTAGCGTTGTTTTAGGGTTATGAAGATGCAGATTTTTCGGGAAGAGCCTGTTCTGTTCATGCCAGGGTTCGGCTTTGGGCTCACACGTCGTGGCTCAGGGTTTGAATTCAATGGCCTGGCCCGAAGCTCGACACATTAAGCAACTAAGCCCTAATCACGAGACCCTACAAAGCGAGTGCGTGAGATGTAGCATCTCGAGGTCTAGTGCCCTCGGAGGGCTCTGGCATCCTATCGTTTTTGAAGTAGCTACCAGTAGATGGTTTCAGATATGTCGTGACATGGCACCTTGCGGTCATGAAGACGCTCGCAACCTTGGCTTATGGAGAAACCTTGCTGTGATCATCCTCCCACTAGAAGTGTCCGTCATCCCCCGCCGGGGCGCGATGACCAAGGCGAACATCAAGCGGTGTTGCTTGTTGCAGGATCGAGCAGCACGTGTGTGGGGGACCACTGCCACTGTAGGTGCCCATGTAAGGCCCGCGTTCTGGATAGCTTCATTGAGGCTGTGAACCCTAAAACACCTTGAACCCTGAACCCCCGAAACCTCCCTCAAAACCCTAAACCCCACGAAAAAACCCTACCCTAAACCCTTTCTGTGCAGCTGCGCTCTGTGAGTGTCCGCCTGCGAGTCTGCCCACTCTGAATACCCCTTAACCCTAAACCCCAGAAGCTGATGCCCAAGTTTAAGGTAAAGTTTACGGTCTTCGACTCAAAAGCCCTGGCAACTTGTAGCAAGAAAACGATTTGGGGATCCAAGAGGTCACGGTTTACGGGGGGGCGTACAGGGTTTTTTAGTTTGCTGCTAATCTTGTTTGATCAGGGTGGTCTGTGTTTGTGATGACTGATGATATACCAGACTCAAAACTTATGTAAAACAAAAATGCAACGGCCCCCAGTTCGTAGGTCTCAGGGCTTTTGGGTTTCGGGTTTTGGGGCTTCAGGATTTGGGGTTGACGACGCTTAAGTTCTGTGGGCCTAGGGCCAGGGTTTCGGCGCACACACTCGGACAATCCAGGCGAGGCATATGGCCTAGGGATGCCTAGGGTTTGGGGTTGCCTACAGCATCTAGAAGCACTCGGAAGGTAAGTCCAGAATGCCTCCTTGGACGAGGGTTTGGTTGAAGAGGCCACTGTTCGCGCGGATCTGGCTGAGAGATGCCTCGCAGGCTATAGAGCCCCAAGCCTAGATTCTGGACCATAAATCTTTACCCGTACGGAAGCCCTATAAGCGAGATCTGATAAGCCCGTATAATGTTGCGGTTTGAATAGTAACCCCCCGCCCCACCAAAAGTTTTGGCTTCAATAATCTGGTGTCAGTGACCCTTCCGACCGGGGTCTTTGTCTGGGTGGCTTCTGTAGGTTTCGGGGCTTTGGGGTGGTTTGCTTCGGTTTTACATCCAGGGCCAGGGTTTTGGGGTTTGGGCGGGGGTTAGGTCGCGGGTGCCTTAAGATTGACTATCAGCACACAGGAGCAACCACCCCCCAAAAAATAACCCCAGCCAAAGAAAATTAGGATGCAGTTTGTTTTGGTACCGGCTTGAATAAAGCAAATACGCATTAATTAGGCCCATGGTACTAAACAAGCCGCAACATTAAACCCTTCAAGACAACATGCAATCCCAAACCTTCTGAGGAACAGGTCTTAGAATCATTAGGCGCGACACAGCGGTTTTGGAGCTCACTCTGGGGTTTACAGGGTTTGGGTTCTTTTGAGACTTTGATGTCGTGCTTTAGTCAGCTTAGCAATGCCTTACACAAAAATCAAGACACGACGCATAATTACTCCAACATGAACTCATGATAGTCTATCCAAGGAAAAGGAAGGCATATCGAACTACGGACTAGCGTCAGGAGACAAAACGTGGCTTCACAGATTACAACATATGAACTAGACCAACCTACATTGAGACTGCACCAATGTGAACAACTCGATATAGCACAGTAAACACTAGAACATAACAACGAAACATGACAAGACCCGAAATATTGTTTGAGTGGTGAATGCATGAATGTTAAACTACAGTGTCATACCATATAGTAATGTAAGGTCATATGACATGGCATATAGAATCATATTGCACTAAGATGTAGCACAGGATGGTACCGTATTCCATGTTCAGTATTGGACAACATGATATAACGCCAAGCGGTGTTGTGTAATGTTATACATTATAGTACATACTGTTATCTCGAAGGTCGAAGGTGTGTATAATATGACATACCAGCGTCTATCATGTGTCATGAGGCTCGTAGCATACAGTGCATAGCATGATATATGTATGCGTTTAAATACATATATATATATATATACAATTACATGCATATGGCATTCAACTTTAATAGAGCCCCCGTTATGATGCGAAACATATGTGGATGTGTGTCTATATATATATATATATATTCAAACATACATCCATATACATATAGAGTATTTCCTACATATAGCGAAGTGAAACGAGAAACACACGAAACATCACCGCCGACCTACAATCTTTAATCTGTGGTCTATAACACATAACGTATCTATCCATCTGCCTATCTACATATAGATACATATGTGCATATATGTTTGTACCATGTACTTGACAGTAAATACAACGCAGAATGTCATACACAAATGAAGTTAGAGATAGATAAGAAACAACAGATTTCGTATGACTTATTATCTATAAGAATAGCAGTACGTCTGGTTCTGATCATCGTCGTGATAGTAGAAGTGGTAAATATTGTAGAATTCAACAGAGCATTGTGATATTAAGTTTGCAAACACGCAGACATAACGAATATATATATATATATATATACACAAATATATTCTACACAACTATATTCATACGTATGGTTGTATTCATTACCCTGCGACTTACATGCATGTGTGTGTGTGTGTATCTATCTCTATCTCTCTCTCTCTATGTATATATATATACTGTATGTATATATATATATATACACACACATAGATATACACATATTGTTTGCCTGCGAACACCAGTGATCGCTGCGCATGTCGCCAGCACAGGACCCGCGGGGCTACAGCAGCACCCTGACATCGGCTAATTAAGTGTACGGTTGTGTGGTGACATACGGGGTCCCCAAACTCCTGTACACTGCAGGGTTGGCAGATGTGTGTGGAACATGTTCCTAAATTTACCTAGTGTTCTATGAAGGGCTTCCTCGTGTGTGCGGCATCTACAGGTTCTTATAATGAAGTGCTGCTTTTTGAGAGCTACGGTGCAGGTCCTGTGAAAGGTCCCAACCATGCCAGGGTTTCAGGTTTCAGTTTAGCCTTGCGTAGGGCGTTAGGCTTCGCAGACTGTCTTGTGCTTCGATTCTTTCAACAAGCTCCATGTGGGTAGTTGACAAGATTAAAGTCCCTTTTTGGGTACCCTAAATGATAGGTGCCGTACTATAATAAGGACCCGAGAAGGGACCATCATTTTGACAACCGCCCATGTGTCTCAAAATCCGGTTTGAACGCAACGAAACTCTGGACCACAGGCCGCTAGGCCATGGACCCTCTTCGATCACTGGAGCCTTACATCCCCAAGCCTGTGCCAAAACTGCCAAACTGCACCAGTCTGTGGAATGCTCCTTCCGAGAGGCCAGTGTAGGCCCAATCAAACACTATAGACGGGCCCAAGTTGATGGTTTGGGCAGCTTGATTATCTAGTGTCTCGACTCATTCTGCCCACCTCGACAGCGTGGTGGCGCAGCTGGCGTCGTCCACGTCAGCACAGGCAGTAGTTGAGATGTTTGAGGTGGCAGGCACAGGGCCATGACATGCCAAGCACCTCGTCGTGCGCGTAGCTTTCCAAACGAATGCTGACAACAACACACGATGCCTTCGAGCCCGTTGCCCAATAATTACCGTACAAGATCTGTGTGGGAATGATCAGCGACATGCTACACCGACTGGAGCAATGACCGTCTCCGTACACGTGTGACAACACAAAGCCTATGAAACAAAACAAACGAAGTCGCCGGATGATCTTCTTAGACTTCAGCCAGAAAAGTATAAACCGTTGAGTCAAAATGCTGACCAGCAGATACTGCAGCGTGGAACTTGAGATCAAACATGGTAGCCATGCTCCAGCTTAGAGCCGGTCTCTCTCGTTCTTCCTATGTGGTCCTCTGTTCCCTTGAGAAAACGCCTCCGAACATCAGGGAAAATATCGTGAGGACATCTGGGGCACAAGACTTGTTGATCCAACTTCTGTGTGAGCAACCTGCATGATGATACGTGCATGGCTGGCGCAACACGAAAAATCCGCTTTACTCCGATCGGCGCACGATAGGAGGCAGCAGGGTCGAGCCAGCATAAAGCTTCATGTTCGTGGCAAAGTCAGCTTTAAAACAACTGGGACATGCAGCACCGGCAAGAAGGATGCTCTAAGATGAGGATGCAGCCCTCTCTGTATTTAACACCACGCAAATCATTGGCTTCACCAGCTTCCTTTTGTCTCCCGATGCGAAGCGGGCACCCATGCTCGAAACCTGCAAGTGCCTGGGAGTTGCAGGCTCTGGTCGGTGCCAGAGCTGTCTCCCACGGTTGCAGTCTGAAGTTCGGCCTTCAAACCGGCCCAAAATCTGCATCTTTCGCATTTTCGGAAGGCCAAGACTCAAGACTTGTGGCCCTAACTGCTTGCAGCAGAAGGGGCATCATGAGCCCTGACTAAACAGAACATGCTTGATAGCAGCTCCATCTTTTGGAGGTTACTATAAGTTAGAAAGAGCAAGTGCACACACACACACACACCTATTCGGTGGAGTGCCGACAGGTATTCACAAGCCGTGAATAGTATCTGTACAGTGAAAATGATTATATAACTACCTGTGCCTCCGGTCTACACACAGCTGTCCGGGTCGGCAGCTCCGTTGCCTGCACCAGTCATGTCCTGTCCCCAGCTTGGGGTTGCTGTGCCGGGCGGATTAACAACATGAGTCTCTGCATATCGTTACCTCCAGACAGTGGGCACTTTGCTACGATACAGCCTTCAAGCAATCCAGGTACATGAGTGCATGACAAGAGCTTTCAACGCGGTCCGTCGTCTGTCCATCCACGATCTTCGCCCCACCAATCTGGCTGCAAGGCCTGGTCACGAAATTGAACCAAAGCGCGGAGCGGCTAGAACACAGCTACCGGAATGGACACTCACCCCTGTAGGCTGCGCTCAACAGCATAGCCTGCCGATCACAGGCTCTGCTCCACCGGCAGTTGCGGTCTCTCGAAACTGCTGGATCTGCGCCTGGTGCCACAGGGCCTATGCTGGCTGGCTGTGGCGTTTGAAGACGGGCGCATGGTCTCGATTAGCATGCCACACAGCTTGAGAGGCCTTCTTGCGGCAATGGCGGCAAGACACGGCAACGAGAACTCCCGAGCATCCCAGCAGAAGCGCCCCCACGAGCATCAACCAAAAGCCGGCCTGACTGAAAGCACGCATGGGCCATGCAAACATCGCATCTTCACCAGCTCGGATGCTAGCTCACTTGCAACTTGCAAGCCCGATGCGACGACAACTGAATCAAACAAGCCTGGGCCGTGCCTCGTCGTGCGCGGCCGACAACCACGGGACGTCCACCTTTGATGTTTCAAGGGAACTTAACAGCACATGCTCTGAGGAGCACACGCATGTGTCAATCTGTAAGAAAGAGCTCCTTCGTTTTCCCGTAAATGGCGGCAGCAGCAAGAGCTACAAAGAGATTCACAACTTAACGCCATTCCTCAATCCTCAATCCTACTACCCCACATGGCGCACATCGGCAAGAGCAATTCTGTCCAAGACACCACGGGGCAGCTGCTTGTGTCGAAGTGGGTGTTGGCCTCGAACATGTTCAGGGCGCCATTCGTTGCAACCAGCCTCAGCGACAACGTGGCCTGCTCCGTTTCACCACACGTGAGGACTGCGAAGTGCCAGTCTCTGATGCCCGATGTCTGGTGCACGTTGATGCGGAAAGTGAAGTCAGTGTAGCTGTGGTTCTTGCCCAGATGACGCTGCATGCTGGCGGCGCTCAACTTCTCCTCACAAGTCATCTGGCCCCAAGCCTCTTTGACGGCGCCCCAACGATGCTCTCGAGCATCGAAAGCCACCAGCATCACCGGTCCAGTCTGGCTCAGCTGTTGCTGGCCTTCCCACTCCACATGCGCCTGAATCTCTGCAGCCTTCGTCGTTTCGGGCCCTGCCTGGCCCAGACAGAAACCCCCCAAGTGCCAAGAGCTGTTGGTCTGCAGTGTAACTTTGGCGTCGATCTGCCCTGGAGTCGTGGAGAAGGTCTGCGCAGTAGCAGCCGCCATCAGGGAGAGCATCATGCAAAGGTGGGGGAAGAAAGCCATCACCGGCGCAACTTCTGCAAGAGGAACAAGCTCTTACAACCTATCTGCTTCGAACCACAAATGCCTCACCGGCAGGCACCGCGAGTACCTGGCTGTCCACTCTCAGATGCAGAATGCCGCGACAACTCACATCATCTCAATATGCGTCACTGCTTTTTTGCAAAAATTCTGAACTCGCAAGAACTTGAACCCGATCTGCACGTCCTGTCCGTGTTTCTCTTACTCTTGTGCAGCCCTTGGGTCCTTGGGTGCAGCTTTCGCTTGGCGTAGAACTCGGAAGCCACCCTAAGCTTTCAGCCCATTTCAAGGTCGAAATCTGAGCCAAAGCGCAGCAAGACTGCTACAGAACTGGGCCTTGACTGGACGGAAGCTTTTCTGTGTGTATATGTGTGTAAATTATATATATATATATATATGTATGTATGTATAGTATGTTGAATGTATGATATTACATAACCTTTGTACGATATATATATATATATATATATATATATACACATATATATATATATATATATATATATATATATATATATGTATATATATATATTGTATATATATATTAATATGACACAATATATATATATATATATATAGATATATATATATACATATATATATATATATATATATATATATATATGTCTGTATACACCTATATATATATATATACAGGTACATATATATATATATATATATATATGTATATACACATATACTCCTTAAGTTTCACTGCGTTGTATAATGCTGTTTCGCAATGCTGTAGTATTTGTACTAGAATGCATTACCGTATTACATCATGTTACGTTATATTATGTTATACATGTTGTTTGACTATATTGTGACATACTATCTTAAATTACATGAAAAGGTGTCCTCACATATTGTAGCATGCTAGATCATATTATAACACTATGTTGCATTAGACCATACTATATTAATACTATATTAATAATTACGTTCAAGCTTATTATATCGCGACGTACTCTGTGTGTCTTTTTCTGTTCTATTCTGCTGTATTCTATTCTGCCCCATTGTATACTAATACTGCACTCTCTTATACTGTATATTATGATTAACAGGTTGAAGCAATCGTGATGTCCCCAGGTTCCGTACACGAGCTGCAGCCGAATCTTCTCCCAAAGTGGGATGTCGTCGGCGATTTTTCTTTCTTCGTGTCTCGAAGCGAGCGCCATCCACCCCACGCCACGCGTTCTGCAACTCGAAACCTGCAAGTGCCTGGGAGTTGCAGGTTCTGGTCGGTGCCAGAGCTGTCTCCCAGGGTTGCAGTCTGACGTTCGGCCTTCAAACCGGCCCAAAATCTGCATCTTTCGCATTTTCGGAAGGCCAAGACTCAAGACTTGTGGCCCTAACTGCTTGCAGCAGAAGGGGCATCATGAGCCCTGACTAAAAAGAACATGCCTGAAAGCAGCTCCATCTTTTGGAGGCTACTATAAGTTAGAAAGAGCAAGTGCACACACACACACACACCTATTCGGTGGAGTGCCGACAGGTATTCACAAGCCGTGAATAGTATCTGTACAGTGAAAATGATTATATAACTACCTGTGCCTGCGGTCTACACACAGCTGTCCGGGGCGGCAGCTCCGTTGCCTGCACCAGTCATGTCCTGTCCCCAGCTTGAGGTTGCTGTGCCGGACGGATTAACAACATGAGTCTCTTGCATATCGTTACCTCCAGACAGTGGGCACTTTGCTACGATTCAGCCTTCAAGCAATCCAGGTACATGAGTGCATGACAAGAGCTTTCAACGCGGTCCGTCGTCTGTCCATCCACGATCTTCGCCCCACCAATCTGGCTGCAAGGCCTGGTCACGAAATTGAACCAAAGCCCGGAGCGGCTAGAACACAGCTACCGGAATGGACACTCACCCCTAGGCTGCGCTCACCAGCATGGCCTGCCGATCACAGGCTCTGCTCCACCGGCAGTTGCGGTCTCTCGAAACTGCTGGATCTGCGCCTGGTGCCACAGGGCCTATGCTGGCTGGCTGTGGCGTTTGAAGACGGGCGCATGGTCTCGATTAGCATGCCACAGCTTGAGAGGCCTTCTTGCGGCAATGGCGGCAAGACACGGCAACGAGAACTCCCGAGCATCCCAGCAGAAGCGCCCCCACGAGCATCAACCAAAAGCCGGCCTGACTGAAAGCACGCATGGGCCATGCAAACATCGCATCTTCACCAGCTCGGATGCTAGCTCACTTGCAGCTTGCAAGCCCGATGCGACGACAACTGAATCAAACAAGCCTGGGCCGTGCCTCGTCGTGCGCGGCCGACAACCACGGGACGTCCACCTTTGATGTTTCAAGGGAACTTAACAGCACATGCTCTGAGGAGCACATGCACGCGTCACGCTGTAAGAAACAGCTCCTTCGTTTTCCCGTAAATGGCGGCAGCAGCAAGAGCTACAAAGAGATTCACAACTTAACGCCATTCCTCAATCCTCAATCCTACTACCCCACATGGCGCACACCGGCAAGAGCAATTCTGTCCAAGACACCACGGGGCAGCTGCTTGTGTCGAAGTGGGTGTTGGCCTCGAACATGTTCAGGGCGCCATTCGTTGCAACCAGCCTCAGCGACAACGTGGCCTGCTCCGTTTCACCACACGTGAGGACTGCGAAGTGCCAGTCTCTGATGCCCGATGTCTGGTGCACGTTGATGCGGAAAGTGAAGTCAGTGTAGCTGTGGTTCTTGCCCAGATGACGCTGCATGCTGGCGGCGCTCAACTTCTCCTCACAAGTCATCTGGCCCCAAGCCTCTTTGACGGCGCCCCAACGATGCTCTCGAGCATCGAAAGCCACCAGCATCACCGGTCCAGTCTGGCTCAGCTGTTGCTGGCCTTCCCACTCCACATGCGCCTGAATCTCTGCAGCCTTCGTCGTTTCGGGCCCTGCCTGGCCCAGACAGAAACCCCCCAAGTGCCAAGAGCTGTTGGTCTGCAGTGTGACTTTGGCGTCGATCTGCCCTGGAGTCGTGGAGAAGGTCTGCGCAGTAACAGCCGCCGTCAGGGAGAGCATCATGCAAAGGCAGGGGAAGAAAGCCATCACCGTCGCAACTTCTGCAAGAGAAACAAGCTCCTACAACCTATCTGCTTCGAACCACAGGTGCCTCACCGGCAGGCGCCGCAATTACCTGGAGTCCAAGCTCATATGCAGAATGCCGCCACAACTTTGGGCTCCGTAGACTACCAACCCTACATCCATGCTATGGATGAACCAGGGCCGCAGATTCATGTTGCCCAAAAAGCAGGCACAGGCAACTACAAAGCTATGAGGATAGCCCAAGGCTTGCTGGTCGAAGGAACGGTGCACCAGAAGTCCCAACCCGATCGGGCAACCATGAACACAGGTTTGGACCAACATCGAAACATTGTTGTATATTAATAGTCGACATGGTGTGTCATATACAAAAGGAAGCTCAACCACAAGGGGCGGCCCGCTCCCAAAGCTTAAACCAATCTGAAACCTCCCCAAACCCGAAGCGCTAAAATCCCAAACCCGAAGCCCCTTTAAAGGCTTAGTTAGAACCCTAGACCCTTTAAATCCCTAATGCCCAAACCCTTAACCCTTTTGCCACTGGCCTGCTGCGACTCCACCCTAAACCCTAAATCGTTAAACCCTGACCCTTACAAACCCGAAAGCAGACGTCGGTCCGATAGTAAATCGCTTCGTCTGGCTGGATGCGAATCACGAGCTCGTTCTGAGGTTGGTCCTGGGACAGCGATCTGGGGGGTTTAGGGTTGAGGGGTTTAGGGTATAGGATCTAGGGGTTCCGGCTTTGGGGGGGGTGTATCGGAATCTAGGTGTTTGGGCTTCGAAGCGAATTTATGGGGGGGTCCTGGGACTTGAGATAGAGTCAACGGCTTTTGAGTTTGGACGGGCAGAACTCAAGGCTTGAGTGCCACTGAGAGAAGGGAGGCTTGGGTCTACAGGGGTCTCAGTTGTAGCCTGGTGCTTGAACATTGGAGCGAGTGATGGACCACAGGAGCATGAATCCAAAAGTAGTGTGAACCCTGAGCCCGAGCCGTGAGCAAGTACCCTTTTATCCGACACTATAAACTAAACCTCCAGGCGCAGCTAGTCTCCCACACTAGGTACTTAGTAGGGAATGGGTGTATGGATCCCTATAATAGTCCCTATATGATCCCCAATAATAGTCCCCATAACCCATTTCCCCGTTCCCTACTAAAAACCAGACAGTAGCCTCCACACTAAGAATTCACCTCAAAGGGTTTGCAGTCATCTGAGACGTTGAGGTTATACGGACCCGAGCTCGAGGGGGAAGGTGATCCATGCGTCCCTGCGAGCATTAAGGCTATTTCAACAGCACCCTCTTGCATGTATATGTATACCTATATATACATGTATGGTAGGTGTGCGTATGTACTGAAGATATCCATCATGCAAAAACAGATACCACGCGAAGTTGTAGGAAGAAGGGGGAGACGGTGCAGGCCGACGTTATCCTCAACACCAGCCCTGTTCGGGATGGGCGCGATTTCTTCGTTGAGGGTAGGGGCCTGTAGGGCTGAGCCAAGTGGAGTAGGGAGGTATGAATGCTTACACTCAAACGCTAATTGCTAGCATAAAACTGTAAAACCATCTTTCCGGGAGCCAGACTCCAAAAAGACTCTGTGGTGGAGCCTTCTTGAATTGAAGTCGCCTTGGCTTGGTGTCAGCGACGTGATGATGGGACAGGGGTTCTTTAGGGATTCGGCAAGGTTTGCTATGAGGGCTCCAGGATAGTAGGGGCCTCACCAATTAGCATAAGCCCGTGTCCCTTAAGGGTTCCTTCAATCGCCTGGAAATTAAGGTTAGGACAGGGGCCGCAATACTTAGAGTAAGGTTTTGGAGTATCTTAGAGTACACAGCACAGCAATGAGGAAGCATGCAATATTTCCAGAGCGAAAATGCACGGAGATAGCTGTCTGAATCCTGCACCCTACCTCAAGAAGACATCGGAGAAGGTCCGAAACCTTGAACCTGAACCCAAACCCTGAACCAAGGCCCTGGCACAATGGTGGATCTTCTCTCAAGGCTTTTGCCGGCCTTCATGATGATGGGAACGTTGGACCTTAGGTCCGCAGGTTTAAGGCTTTTCCACAGGGTCCATGTATACTACTACTATGGAATGAAGGCCCCGCAGACCATTAGCATAGGATGGTCCTTTGGTCCCTTCCATACGAGGAGTATATATGGACCCTTGTTTTTTTGCTTGAGGGCCTTTAGGTTCAAGGCTTAACGATCTCGGGTGCAAGCCGGCGGCTTCGGCGGTTTCGACTCTCACAGATTCACCCTGAGGCTCCATGCACCTATGTAGCAGATACTTACGAATTGAAGTGCCCATGGTAGCGATGACAGGACGGCAGGCAGCCAAGTAAGGGCCCTGACTAAACCGTAAAAACACTACACCAGCCCTGAACCGGAAACCCTGAACCAGAGAAGCCCTACACTCGAAGACTCCGACCACTTTGACCCAAGATCGTCCCAACTTCAAGGATCAAGCTACTTCGCACACTGGTGCTCTACAAGGAAACATAAACACCAGTTTCCCCCACTTCTTACCTACTCAAAGCGGCATCCGGCCCTGTACTTAGAACTCCCGGGCTTTCGTTAGATTCCGGACCAGTCTCAAGGTTTAAGCTTCGGGTTTTGGGTTCAAGGCTTAGGATTCAAGGTTTCAGTGTTTTTTGTGGGTGTTTAGGGGGGGGGGGGGTTGTCATCTTGCCTTGGGGTTTGGGGGGTTTTGGGCTTGCCAGGTGAGTCTAGAGCCGAAAATGCACCTCGATGACCACCCCCGTGGTAAAGTGTCCAAACTCCTGAAGCCTAGAATCTCTGTTCAATAAGACACCACGACCGCGGCAGCTTCCAGCCTCAAAGGGCCAGAGCCACCGAGTCCACGGCCATCTCTCATTGTCGAGGTGAAGGACCTTCACATAATACGTATGGGCGCAGTAATGATGAGAACAGCCTTTGCTATAAGGGGTTTACAAGGTAGCGTCAGTAAGGATCGAGAATGAGGGGTGAGGGGACTTGATAATTAAGACAGGGGATCCCAGATGGCTTTACTAATAATAATCAGCTTTCACAGAGGTTCTGTAGGGTTGTATGAATGATAAGGCCATTGATCATGCAAACAGGACGCGTACTTATGATAGCGACCATAAGTCTGATTCTTGCCAGTTTCCAGTTCGCCATGCTAATCATAACGGTGCTTTTTTTGAGAACCCTGCTTTCGCGCATCAGCATTAGGCCCAGCATCCATATCGGTGTCTTGGGGCGTGGGGTTCAGACTGGATTTCGGATTCAGAGCTCAGGGTATAGAGTCAAAGCTCAATACTGTGATACTGGTGATCTGGTCGTGGTCGCTGCAAGTATAACATGGGGGCCTTAATAATTAGAACAGGGTTTTGGGGCAGTAAGGAACCCCCACACTGAACTATGGGAACTGTGGTATATTCCTTATAATGGGTAATGCAGGATATTGTCCATCAGCAGTAGTATTGGTAGTTATTCAGGCCCCCATAGTATGGGTGGGCTTTCACGGCAACAACCGGCCTATTGCACCGAGCTTGACTCTGCAATCTAAGGCGCTTTGAGAGCTGGTTGCAAGGGGTCATGGCGTTCATCTTGCTTCCCTTTTCTCTTCCCCTCCTCCCCTCACCTACCTGCCCAGGGCAGCCGCCCAAATCTCCAACATGCTGGAGCTGAAACCCAAAACTCCCAAACCCTAGCTCTGACATACGAGTCACATCAAAAAGCTGCCAAAAAAGACCTCCAGTCATCCAGTCACGATGCCCATGCTGAGTACTGGAGTGCAGCCAATAATCAAACCTTCAAAAAACTAGTTAGCATTGCCTCACTCCGCTCTACTGAAACCCCAAGTAGCATCCTGTGCTATATCCTCTAAACTCTAAACAACTCACCCTGAAACCCCACAAATCCCAGAAAGATGCGAGGTTCGCACGCAGGCAGCAAAAGTTGGACACTTCGACCGATAACCTGGCAGTTCAAGAAAAACTGTGGTTTTTTGGAGGGCGTTAACACTTAGTACAAGGTCTTCGGGGCAGTCACAGTGCAGTTGCGAACAAAATAATTGGACCCGGTTATGAAATCATTAGCCCTGGTTCTTCCGGTGATATTTTAGCAATGACCAGTAGTTAGATCCAGGTCTGTATGGACATGCTCGAAACTTGGCAAAGCTGGCTGGCGAGGTTTTTTGTTCAAACCCGCGCATGAAGGAGGCTCTCTCTGCGGTGGGATACTATGATCCGAAATCAAAAGGGCCTTCCTTGACCCGCTCCTTTCCTAGTAGCTATGTTCACCTGGGTGGGGTGCCGGCGACTGTACAGCCCAGGTGTTAAATCAATCTGCTCCGGCCAAAGCCGACGCCGAAAATCGGCCGCGGCCAGAGACTGAGTTCGGGTCAGTAGCCCTCAGTCATCTTTCTCCAAGTAGTCCAGCGTCTTGCGCAACAGGGTCTTGGTGATGTCCCCAAACTTGTACCCGTCCTTGCCCGTGAAGTCAGCGATCTTGTCCATGGCTTTGTTGACCGCGGCCTTTGTTACGTCTCCAAACTGGTACTCCTCCTTGCCAAGGAGCGAGGCAACTGCAACCTTTGCACGTGCGGCGGCTTCCTTGCTAATGTCGCCGAACTTGTACCTGAACCCCGAATTTCAGCTGGCTCTCTAAGACTTGTATCAGGGAATCAAAAGAAGGATCCCAACAAAAAGGTAGGTTCTATAAGGCTCAGGTACTCCTCCTTGCCTGTGAACGCCAACGCAGCCTCCTTTGCTCCCTCCTTGATCTGGCCAGCCACGGGTTTCACGACCTGGGAGAGAATGATCGGACTGCTTCCTTCTGGCGCCGCTTTGGCGGCGTCGGCGGTGAGATACACATTGTCGAGCTTCTTCACAGCCGATGTGACTTTCTCTTCCACCTTCGACGCCACATCTTCGATGTTGTAGTCCTCCTTCCCGACAAACTCGCTGATGGCGGCCGCAACGCTGGTGCCCACCTCCGTCTTCAGCTCCTTGGTCATCTGC